AGCGCACTTCTGGTGCGAGGCCCCTCGCGTTCGCGCCCCACGGGTGGCAGTTGGGAGCTGCAAAGAGCATTGCTACTCCGATGAACAGCAGCGCGTGCAGCAAATGCACCTGGTCAACGAAGCGGGACAAATTCCAGCCATACCTGTAGTCGACTGGTGGCATATGCGCAACTCCTTGTGCGCGAGCCCTGGTCGACAAGTTGCTGGATCCTGAACACCATTCCCACAAAGGGAACTTCGGCCCCTCCCCGTGACACCCGAGGGCGGGAGGGAGGAACCACCTCGTGACACCCGAGGGCGGGGAGGTGTCCGAATGTGGTTTTGGGTCTGAATCGGCAGGCCTTCGCTCGAGCAGAGTCTGCGCCTGTTGCTCCCCCGGCTGGCACTTCTCCTCAAACCAGTCGGTGAAGGAGTCCGGGCCGACGTGCTCGGAGGTGTCCTGGTAGTACCTGTCCGGGATGCACTTGTACTTCCTCACCATCTGGGTGACCGTCTTGCTGTCCACCTCGCCTTCGAGATGCTTCAGCGAATCGCGGATATCCCGTGTAGTAAGGGCCATCGTGCGCGCCACGCGGGCGCTGCTGACTACCGGAACAGTCGGTTTCCCATCCCTGCCTGGAGCGTCTTTGTTGGGAAGGTCCTTGAACAAGCGTTTGAATCCTCGCACTGATATGTACGGCAAGCAGCCCCACATATGCACCTCCACATTGTTGCCCTTGGGCGTCTTCAAGTAGGAGGAACCAATGGCGTACTCGCAGCCGCGCGTCCATAGCCATCCCAATGGCAGAAGGTCGAAGTTGTCATCACCAGCCCTCTTCTCCACCCTGCAGATGGGGACGCCCTTCGGCCCCTGTCCTGTCTGGCACGGGCAGCTCCCCCAGGCGAGTTTCAAGGAGTCGGTCCAGCTGGAGGTCTCCTTGCTCGGCTCCTGGTGCACCAGGTGAACGTTGGCCCAGCTGTCCAGGCCGACCGCGCCCAGCGGGAACTTGTCTGCTTCAGGGCCGGCAGCGGCCGCGATGCAAGACTTGCTGGTGGAGCCCGGGCCCTTGTTGCCGTCGTAACCCTTGCCCCCGCCGTCTTTCTTCCCTTTCGTTTTGCCTTTACCGCCCTTGTCTTGGGCAGCCTTCTGTTGAGCTTCGTCCCGTCTCTTGCGGTACTCCGTCCAGTTCTTGTCGAAGTCAGGGTCTTTCCCACCGCCAGGGGCCGTGCACTCTTTCGTGCTGTGGCCCTCTTCTCCACATATGAAACACCGATTCGCATTGGTAGGGATTCCCTCGTGCTTGAAGAAGCAGTTGATGCCTCGACTGCAGGACCCCTTTTTCCAATTGCGGCACTCCGGTGCCCATTTGGACGTCGTGGTAGAAACCTTCTCCCTGATGCCTGCTGCGGCTTGTGGTGCCGCCGCATCGCCTTGGCCACTGGTGGCATCCGCATTCGCCTTGGCAGCTGCGGCTCTCCTTGCCTGCTCCTTCTTCTGGGTCTCCTGTCTCTTCTGGCTCTCCGTGAGAGGCAAGCCTGGGTTGCCGGTGCTCTTGCCCTGCAGCGCCAAGTACGAAAGCTCCCCCTCGGCGAACTCTGCTACTTTCCTCATGGAAGCGACGCTGATGACCTGTGGCAGGCCCAGGTTGTTCTCCAAGGCGACCCACCGCAGCCTTAGGTTTTCGTCTGCGTGCGCAAACACTCCAGAGAATATGCTTCGCATAGCTGTATACAAGATGGTCGCGTCTGGAATTGCCATTCCCAGCTGACGGCATCTCCGGGCAGCCGCCCAGTACTTCTGGAGCTCGTTCAAAGCAGTCTCTGCCTTGGAACAGGGCTGAGGGTCAGTCAGCTGTTTAAGGACCGACGCCTTCTCATCCGCCGCTCCGGAGCAGCAGAACTTCAGGAGTAAGTAGAGAATGTCCTGGGCCTCGTCGCGGATCCCCTGGACACCTCTCTGCGACAGCTGTTTCTTCAGCTGCTGGGGCAATGAGGCCAAGAGGCGGGGCTTGATCCACGTCTCTATCTGGCACCATTTCTGCTGGTTCCTCGGCCCCACTGTGATCCCCTCCCTGGTCATGATGGGAGTAGATAGGTATCTGGAATGGGTCTCTTCGGCCGCCTTCCAACACCACACCCACCACTCGACCACTGCTGGCCCTGCGGCCTCCAGAATCTGGAACACCGCGTAGCGCCACTTTCGAAGGTGCTCCGGGCGGTCTTGGATCGCCCCGAGCTCCAACACTGGGAATTCCCCGACACAGGCCTGGACGGCCCGGAGGATGAAGTTCAGCTCGGCTGAAGAGAGACTCGTTGACACCGGGACGACTGTCTCCCCCAGTCCGTGGGAGCTGCTGCCCTGCCCACCTGTGGGCGCCGCCCCGGTTTGCGGAGCGTGGCTCTGAGGATCTCCCGGTGGAGCTTGTCCAGGGTAGTGGGCGCCATCCCCTGACCCTCCACCAGCCGACCCTGCGAAGAACGAGAAGACATCATCAAAACATCGTGGAGCTTCTTCATGCTGCGGTGCACGCTGGTGCCATACCTGTACGGCCAGACTCGGGTCTCCCGTGCCTCCCAGCAGCATGTGTTCCTGTGTCCTGACGCCTCCTCCCGGAGCTGCGATTCCCCCTCCTCCTTGAGTCCCCACAGGCCTAGTGTCGAAGGCCGCCAGGGGCAGGTCTTGGAAGGGCGCGAGCCCTGGTGGTACTGGTGCAGTCTGGGATCCTTGACGATGCACTCCTTGCTGCAGTCTGGAATGCGTGTTGGGGATGTCCCGCTGCGTGTGGGATGCCAGTGCTGCTGCGGTGAGGTCGCCCGGCTGCGCTTGCACAGCCACGCGATCTGCCAGCGCTGGCACCTGCGGCCCCATTGAGAAGGGGGCTCGTTGTGGATTGGGCAACGACAGTGGTGTCGCTGACGATGCGTCAGTAGTTAACTGATTCACACCCATGACATTCTGCCAGAAACCGTCGCCTTCTCCCTGCTCAGTGCCCCCATCCCGGGGTGTGCTACCCGAGCTGAGGACGTAGTTTTGTACTCCCCGGCGCCCTGGCTCAGCCGCAGTCGGCTGCTCCGCGCCGCCGGAGCACTGGCCAGACACTTGAAGGTTGTGGTCCTCCGTGCCGGGGCCCCAGTAGTCGTTCCAGTTCTGAACCTCCGCCTCGATCTTCTCAAGACGCGCAGCCATCTCTGCCAGCCCTGTGGTGCACGCGTGGTCGGTGCGGGTCACAGCCAGCTCAATGGACTCGACTTTCTCGAGTACCTGCTTGAGGATCTCTGGAATGTAGTCGTTGGACGTCTGGGGAACTTGTTCCCGTCCAGGCGGAGGTGCGCGCGCAGACTGCCCCGTGACACCCGAGGGCGGGGGGACAGCCAACGCGCCTTCCTCGACCGACAGTCCCGTGGCACCCGAGGGCGGGGGGACAGCCAGTGCGCCTTCGTCTGCTGCAGTGGTGCTGGCCTGAGGCGCGAGCGCAGCCTGCTGCGCCACGCCAGGCACTACTTCTGGCCCCTCTGCAGAGACGAATGATTGATCCGCCGTGGAACCGTGCTTCTGAGCGTAGTACGTAGAGCCTGGAAACCCTACACAATCTCCAGTCCGGAGGTGTGGTAGATGACCGGTATTCCTTGAATGGCAAGCCAAACAGTGTCCCTCCATCCTTGCCCTCGCAGGGGTCATGGTGATCAAGGGGTTCGGCCTTGCACCAAGAGAATGAGGACGCATCCTCCGCTTCGAGACTGGCGCTACTGGGTGTGGAGATGGAGGCGCCGGCACTTGCAGCGCAGGTGTTGGTGCTGCTTGTGCGGGTTCGTCTAGCGCTGCGTGTGGTGTAGGTGCCGCCTCTGTTGGGGCGTCTTGGAGAGCCCGTTGGGTGCGGTCGCGGCCCCGAGGGCTGGCGCTGGCTACTGCTGCCACTGCGCCGCTCGCAAAGCCCACTGCGGCTCCAGCCACGGCAACGGCAGCTCCCCCCACCGCGGCGCCCACAGCTGTGGAAAGCCCCAGGGCTTGTGTTGCTCTGGTCTTCCAGGTCGCCAGCTGCTCCACGTAGTAGCGTTTCCACTGCTCCCTCATCTGTTGGTCGTGCTGTTGGGAGTAGTTGACGATGACCTGCATCATGCACTCGCCGCAGAATGGGACGCCCTGGAAGCGCTCCAGCTGCAAGCAAGATGCGTGCCCATAGGACCCGCACTGGCTGCAAGTCACCGGGTCCGTGACCATGGTGTGGCACTTAGGGCAATCGCACTGGAAGCCCCTGTACGTGCTGAGGAACTCGACGCACTGCAGTGACGTTGGGCTCATAACCCTCGTATAGCTGCTAGTCGGCCGCGCAGGCCGGGAAAGAGCTAACACATTCGCAGATACATCTTCCTCCATCGTTGTATCGTGTGGGAGACAGTTGATGTAGGGATGTGACGATACAGGTTCGTTTTACTCGCTCAACTGCTGCAGTCCAGTTGACAGATCTTGAGCCAAATAGCGACGGATGCTTTGCCCGTCCTGCTCTCTATGGCAGATTTGCCGCAAGAGCGCTGCAAGAAATTATATGTTACAACATACTACAAGTACAAGGGGCGAGAAAGGATGCGCGATTATCGTGGCGCCTCTGCGTGCCTTCGCACGCTCTTGTCGCACCGGCAATCTCACGGTCGCACCAGCAGACAGACGGTCGCACCAGCAGACAGGTGACGCCACAGCGTCGCGCGCTTCGGGGAGGTTGCTCAGGTTCTAGCGGAGGAGGGGATACACAAGAAAGAGAGATAGAGAAAGAGATTATGCTACAACGTGCTTTGGCGACAGAGCACTCGTCCCGTGACACCCGAGGGCGGGGGGACGTTGAGCAACCATCCAGTGACACCCGAGGGCGGATGGACGGTCGCTCAGTAGTGCAAGGCTGCTGCTACGTGCTGCTCACTCAGAAACGCTCCATGATACAAATCATGCTGACATTTGTATCGTCACATGTTTCGGGGGTCTCTACGCAGGATCGACCGGCATTTCGACCACTGGCGGCGCGGCTCTCCTCCGGGTCTGCTGGTGAGGTCGAGCTCCAGGTGCACCACGTCGTGCTCCTGCTGGCCCCGTGCATCGCGGGTGCGGCCGGGCGGGTCGACTGGGCCCGATTCCTCATCGTTCATTCCTATGGTTACGATCGCTATACTCAAGTGATTCCGAAGACGATGTTAATCAGTATGGAAACAGTCCCATGGTAGTATGCCGCCGAGATGGCTCCCGCTCACGCTTGCTTATGATTCGGGCGCTACTGCGACGGTGGCGGAAGTGAATCCGGCTCCTGGTGGACACGCTGTGACCTTGTGAGCCGTCTTGGGCGCTGCAAAGGCCCAGAACAGGAGGGCAATGAGGAGCACGACAATGACGGGCTGAGGCGCACAAATGACTTCTGCCTCTGGAGGCCCTCCGGGGGCCCCATCGGGGCGTCTTGGCGACCTCTGGAGGCCACCTCTTACTCTCCTGAGCTTTCTTGGGCCCTCCTGGGGCCAGCTTGGGGCCTACCTCGGACTCCTTAGGGCTCTGTGGGGACTTCCTCCTCCTCCTCCTCCTCCTCCTCCTCCTCCTCCTCCTCCTGTTCCTCCTCATCTCGACTGGTCCTCCTCATCTTGACCGACCATCGTCGAGCCTCCTCCTCCTCCTCCTCCTCAGCGTGCCCCTCCGCTGGTGCGCTGGGCTTCGGCCCGCCGGCGGCCCTCGGCGGCGGCCCTCGGGAGCCCTCGGCCGCCCGCCGCGGGCTCCAGGATGGCCCTGTCGCCCTCGGCTCGCCGCTGCCAGGTCTCCTCGCGGGGGGCGGCGCGGCGGAGCCCGGGGGTCCCTCGCCTCGAGCAGCAAGCTCCTCCTCCTCCTCCTCCTCCTCCTCCTCCTCCTCCTCCTCCTCCTCCTCTCCTCCACCTCCTCCTCCTCCTCTCCTCTCCTCCTCCTCCTCCTCCTCCTCCTCCTCCTCCTCCCGCCCCTCCTCCTCCTCCTCCTCCTCCCTCCTCCTCCTCCGCCCCCTCCTCTCCTCTCCTCCTCTTCCTCCTCCTCCTCCTCCTCCTCCTCCTCCGCAGGACACGACAGTGGCAGCAGCGAGCGCAGACGGCAGGCGATACGTCGTACGCGGACGATGGGCAGTGGACGGACCGTCAGTCCCGCATGACCACCTCCCCCCTCGTAACCAGCTTGGCTCAAACCCAGCTCGCTCTTTACATGCCAATCGTTAACAAGGATGGAGTGCCGACGCCAGGTCCTCACGACATCAGCTACAGCGCTGGGAAAAGCACGCGCGAACGATGCGAGAAGGACGCCCTGGGGGAGGCAAAGGACTCTTGGAGGGCAGCAGTGGCGGAGGCGAAGCATGAGCCCAATGCCATCAGCTACAACGGCGGGACTATGCCACACGACGCGAAGGTAGGTCGGCTCCGACGTCAACAGCTACAGACCCGTGGACGACACATGCGAGAAGTCTGAAATGGTAGCACTGGGCGAGACGAAAACGAGCCCAATGCCATCATCTACAACGACGAGGCTGTGTTACATAACGCGAAGATCGAGCCTGACGTCATCAACTACAGAACCGTGGACGACACATGCGAGAAGTCTTGGATGGCGGCAGTGGCGGAGACGAAACACGAGCCCAGTGCCATCAGCTACAACGACGGGGTTGTGTCGCGTGACGCCAAGGTCGAGCCCGACGTCATTAGCTGCAGACCCGAGGACGGTGCATGCGAGAAGTCTTGGATGGCGGCAGTGGCGGAGTCGAAGCACGAGCCCAATGCCATCAGCTACAACGACGGGGTCGCGTTGCATGACGCGAAGGCCGGCCCCGACGTCATCAGCTACATACCCGCGGACGGCGCCTGCGAGAAGTCTTGGATGGCGGCACTGGCGGAGTCGAAGCACGAGTCCAGTGCCATCAGCTACAACGACGGAGTTAGGTCGCGTGACGGGAAGGTCGAGCCCGACGTCATCAGCTACAGACCCGAGGACGGTACATGCGAGACGTCTTGGATGGCGGCAGTGACAGAGACGAAGCACGAGCTTAATGCCATCGGCTACAACGACGAGGCTGTGTCGCGTGACGTGAATGTCAAGCCCGCCGACGTCATCAGCTCTAGACCCGGGGACTGTGCATGCGCGAAGTCTTGGATGGCGGCAGTGGCGGAGACGAAGCACGAGCTCAATGCCATCAGCTGCAACGACGGGGATCAGACGCGCGGTGCCAAGGTCGAGCCCGACGTCATCAGCTACAGAATTGGACAAATGACATAGTCAGACGTGGAAGCGTTTCCCCGCGAGCGAGCTGCTAAACAGAAGGAGTTTGAAGATAAATGCATAACATAAGCCATAATATGCAAATCCCAGCCATTCGTGCGACGAGTTGCACACACACACATAGCGTCCGCATCACAAGGCAGTAATGGGAGATGGATCCACACACAGGTTGGAGTCAGTTGTACTCAATGCTACGAATGGAAAGTGGAGTCTACGCAGGGCAACACACCGACGAAACAGGACGGCGGCAGTGAGGTTGGAGACCTTCTCTCAGCTCTCGAACAGCCATCGCCTCAGCATCGACACGTTGAAGCATTCCCTGCTGTCGAAGGCCTTCTGCGTGGAAGGTGGCACCGCGTCGTGCGGTCCCGAGCAGAGTATATCGCTACGCGATCAGGCAGAAACTCCAGGGCTCCTCCTCCTCCTCCTCCTCCTCCTCTTCCTCCTCCTCTTCCTCCTCCTCCCCCTCCTCCTCCTCCTCCTCCTCCTCCTCCCTTTCCTCCTCCTCCACCTCCTCCACCTCCTCTTCCTCCTCCTCCTCCTCCTCCTCTTCCTCCTCCCCCTCTCACTCCTTCTCCCCTTCCTTCTCCCCCTCCCCCTCGTCCTCCTCCTCCTCCTCCTCCTCCTCCTCCTCCTTCTCCTCCGTCCCAGGGCGCCAGAAGCTGAAAATTGCCACACACACACACACACACCTCGAGGACGTGTCGGCATTTCTCTTGGGGCTTCCTCGGAAACCCGCAGAGGGACCTCCTGCAGAACCCGGGCGCAGGAGCCTCGGGGCTCGCCGGAGGGCCTTGCCAGGACCGGCCCACGCCGACGGCGGCGGGAGCCGCACCTTCCCCATGACCCCCAGCCGCCCGGACACATTGCGCCGGAAGCCTTTCGCTGAGTTTCCTCCTCCTCCTCCTCCTCCTCCTCCTCCTCCTCCTCCTCCTCCTCCTCCTCCTCCTCTTTCTCTTCCTCCCCTGGCCCACGGCGCTCAGGGGGCCGCCTGCTGCGTCCCAGGGCCGGCAAAGACACAACTCTGAACGAGAAGGCCCCCCCCCGGGGAAGGGGCCGAGAGGTCCCGAGGGGGGGCCTCTGAAGCGATCCAGTCGCGATGTCTTGTTTCCTGTGCTTCGGACTCAGAAGCAAATCCAAGACATTGGGACAATCCAACAACTAACCAATCAAGACGCCGAAAGAAGGGCCGCTTTGGAGTCGGAAGGGGCTCGCTGTTCCGTAGGCCGATCCCGTGATCGCTCCTCTGACCCCCCTCGCGCCCCCCGGCGCTCTGCTGCCCAAGATAAGGGCCTCCTTCCTTCTGTTGCGTCCCTTACTGCAGCAGCCCGGCTGTGCTTGCGACGATATGGAGCCATGCCCGGGGAAGGGGCCGAGAGCCCTAGGGGCCAGCGACCCGACGTCTGGGACATCTCTCCACCTCTTCCCTCGCTCCTCGTCCTTGTCATTGTCGTCCTCCCCTGCTCCCCCTCGCCTTCTCCGCCTTCTTCTTCCTCTTCTTCTTCTTCTTCTCCGCCTTTTTCTTCTTCTTCTTCTTCATCTTCTTCCTCTTCTTCCTCTTCTTCCTGCTCCTCCTGCTCGTCTTCGTCCCCCTCCTGCTCCTCATGCTCCTCGTGCTCCCTTCCTTCCGCGTCGCCCTCCCCCTCCCCCTTCCCCTCCCCCGAAGCCCCCGCGAGGGCCCCCGAGAGGCCTCCAAGAGGTCCCCTATCGGCCTCCGGAAACGAGCAGACACCAAATCCCAGAGCCTCCGCAAGAACATGATGGCGCAGGCTGACTTCTGCTTCCTGCTCTCCATTCGCCGGTGACGATGTCCAGTGCGGGGCGCCGCCACTCTCGCGCATTGCGCCCCACTCGCAAAGCCTGGTGACGCATCAACTCTTGCATAGGAGTGACGATTACATGGTGGTCGAGTCGTCGTCGCCGTCGTCGTCGCCGTCGTCATCGCTCAGTTCGCAATAGCCGCCGTCGCCGACTCCACCGTCGCGCAGGTCACAGCCAATGCGCAAGCAATGCAAACGCATGGCGTGCTGCGCAGTTTCTTGCATCGGAATGACAAATGACTACATGGTTGCCGTCGTCCCCGTCGCCATCGCTCACGTCGCAGTGGCCGCCATCGCCGACTCCGCCGTCGCGCACGTCAAAGCCAACGCGCAAGCGATGCAAACGCATGGCGTGCTGCGAGAATTCTTGCATCGAGATGACGACTACATGGTTCTCGTCGCCGCCGTCGCCATCGTTCACGTCGCAGTGGCCGCCATCGCCGACTCCGCCGTCGCGCACGTCACAGCCAATGCGCAATCCATGCAAATGCATGGCGTGTGCGTAAACTCTTGCATCGGAATGACGACTGCATTGTGGTCGTCGTCGCCGTCGCCATCGCTCACGTCGCAGAAGCCGCCGTCATCGAAATGACGACTACATGGTTGTCGTCGCCGTCGCCCTCGCCATCGCTCACGTCGAAGCTGCTGCCGTCGCCGACTCTGCCGTCGCGCAAGTCCAAGCCAATGCGAAATCTATGCAAAAGTGGCGTGCCGCGCAAGTTCTTGCATCGAAATGACGGCTACATGGTTGTCGCCGTCGCCGTCGCCATCGCTCACGTCGCAGTGGCTGCCATCGCCGACTTCGCCGTCGCGCACGTCACAGCCAATGCGCAAGCAATGCAAACGCATGGCGTGCTGCGTAAATTCTTACATCGGAAGATGGCGACTGCATTGTTGTCGTCGCCGCCGTCGGCGGAGCAACGCCTCACCGTTTCGCAGCAGGCCCCTGCGCACCGCGCTGGAGCACCGTGCCATGCCCCGTCGGCGCGGCCGTCGCCAGGGCGCCCGCCTGCTCCCTGCTCCGCCGCTTCCAGAAGCACATCGCCGCTGCCCTCGCCACCCGAAGCCAGCGCCACGCCGCGGCAAGCACGGCCCCATGCGGGCCCACGGCGCCGCGTCCCGCCGACTCCGCCGCCGAGTAGCTTGAACGAAGAAGCCTGAGCCAAAATGGCGACGGAGGGAGGATGGGGAGGGGGAGCGAACGTCCCCTGAGGAGGCGGAGGGGGAGGGGGAGGAGGAGGGGGAGGAATGCCTGCTTGTTTCCCCAGATTTCGGCTTCCACGCGCTGGTTTTGCAAGTCCCAGGAGGCGGATGGTCTAGGCAGAGAACGGCCCGCGGTGAGAAGCGAGTTCCAGGGATGTGTTCGGGAGTTTTGCGGTGGGATCTTGGAAGGCCCAGGGTATGAAGGGACGCGCGCTCATAAATCGTATGACTCCCTGGCCCAGATCTGCAAATTGCAATAACGCAGCCGCGCATTTCATCTTCAAGCATGCTGGGAGGCATTGGTTGGGGGAAGGAAGGAAAGCGAGGGTGAGGGGGGCGGAACGAAGCAGAATCAGCAATGTATCATAACATGTCAACGCAACATGGCCGTTCGCGACGGCCTGTGACTTGGCAGACCCTACATGTGGGCCTTCGAATGCGTCGAGGCACCATCCTCAGCTCGACCCTTAGTAGCGTTCCCAAGGAGCGAGGGACACGATGACAGCATGTGTGCAAATAGCAGCAATGCTCTGGGAGAGGTCCTCGGAAGGAGGGAAGCTGAGGGAGAGTGTGAGCATCAGATCGGGCGGACGACGATAAGGGAAACGATAGAGAGGAGGACACTTTCTATATATGTATATATATATATATATGCTGACGAGCATCTGGGAGTGGACCTCTGCCTCGTCCCCCTCCTCCTTCTCGTCCTCCTCGTCCTCCTTCTCCTCCTCCTTCTCCACCGTTTACGTGCACCCCTTCTTCGTCGTCGACGGCGAACTCCTCCTCCTCCTCCTCCTGCTCTTCCCTGCTCCCCCCTCCTCCTTCTCCCCTCTCGCCTTACTGCTCCCACCTGCTCCGTCTCCCCGTCGTCCTCCCATGTCTCTCCGTCCCCTCCTCCTCCCCCCTCTCCTCCTCCCCCTCCCTCCTCCTCCTCCTCCTCCTCCTCCTCCTCCTCCTCCTCCTCCTCCTCCTCCTCCTCCTCCTCCTCCTCCTCCTCGTCATCCCTCCTGCCCCTCGCCCTCCTGCTGCTCTCCATCCCTTCTGCCCCTCGCCCGCCTGCCTGCTCTTCCTGCCCCCCCCCCCCCAGGGCAGGGGAGTCTCCTCGTCGCAGGCCCGCGAGCACCGCGTCGTGGTTATCAGGCGCCACTGGCGTCCGCCGCGGGCGGGCAGGGGCGGGCCGCGTCGGACCGGGACGGCGCATCCCCCAAGAGGCCCCCAAGAGGCCCCCACGCTGTCTCCCAGAGGCCCCCGAGGGCGCTTCGAAGAGACCCCCAGAAGCATCCATGAGGACTCTGACCCATGTCAGCGTCGTCGTCGCCGCCGGCGTTGCCGTATCGAGCTTGCCCCCAAGAGGCCCCCAAGAGGCCCCCACGCTGTCTCCCAGAGGCCCCCGAGGGCGCTTCGAAGAGACCCCCAGAAGCATCCATGAGGACTCTGACCCATGTCAGCGTCGTCGTCGCCGCCGGCGTTGCCGTATCGAGCTTGCCCCCAAGAGGCCCCCAAGAGGCCCCCACGCTGTCCCCCAGAGGCCCCCGAGGGCGCTTCGAAGATACCTCAGGAAGCATCCATGAGGACTCTGACCCATGTCAGCGTCGTCGTCGCCGCCGGCGTTGCCGTATCGAGCTTGCCCCCAAGAGACCCCCAAGAGGCCCCCAAACTGTCCCTCAGAGGCCCCCGAGGGTTGCTTCGAAGAGACCCCAAGAAGCATCCATGAGGACTCTGACCCACGTCAGCGTCGTCGTCGCTGCCGGCGTTGTCGTCGTTCCCCTTCCTGTCAATTTCCAGCTGGGGGGCAGGCATTCGGGAACGTTGAGAAATTAGAAATGTAGCCCGTGCACCACCCAACCCGAAATTGGGGAGGGGGAAATGGGACCTTCGGCTTGGGTGTGGGCGGTTTGGTGCATCGTGGCGCTGCGTCGGCACGGCATCGAAATCGAATCGGATCGGCCAGGACGCGCAGCAGCGCTATGCTTGTGGAAGCCGACTAATGGAGAGGAAACATGCTGCCAAATAACTTCCAGACGTCTTGAACATGTTTCAGAATTGCTCAAGTCTTTTCTTTGTAAAAAAAAAACATGCTGGAGCCGTTCTGAGAACATGCTACACGCATTCTGAACGCATCTGTGAGCCAACGATCGGATCGTTGGAGTGTCCATCGCCGTGGCATCCGCAGCGCTGTGCAGACAACGGGCCGCCTCGGAGGAGGGAGGGGGGGCCGGGCGGCGCGGCTTGGGGCCGCCGCAGGGGCCGCCGAGGAGAGGCCGCCCCCGAGGGCGGGGCCGAGGCCTTCACAACGGGCCGCATCCCAGACCCCCGACGTAATGATTTTTTCATTGCGTCGACCCCCACAGGTCCCGACCCTTTCCCCATGACCGGCTTTGCATCCTGAGCCGTTTTTTGACGCTCCCGAGGCCCGGTGAGGGCCCCCGGAGGCCGAAAATTAGGAAAAACCTCCCGTCATGATTTTTTCATTACTCGAGGGGGTCTGGGATCGGGGCAGGGAGGGGGGGCCGGGCGGCTCGGCTTGGGGCCGCCGCAGAAGAGGCCGCCCCCGAGAGGGCGGGGCCGAGGCCTTCCCCGGGGGCCGCCGGCACGGCCTCCGCGGGCCGCCGAGGCCTCGCGTTTTTCAGTCGGGCCCGTCCTCCGGCAGGGGGACTGTGGGCGAAGGCTTAGAGAGAGCAGCAACAATACCCTGAAAGGGTGACCATTTCGGGAGATTTCTGTTGCTCTCGTCGTCGTTTCTGCGGTTCTGGCTGTGCACAGGACGTGCTGATGTTTCTTCTTGGCGTTTGTCGGTGGTGGCGCTGCGGCCCTCGCGGCGCGCCAATGGGGGTACGTCTCCCTGGGGGGACGTTTGGCCCCCTCCAATGGTCAAAAAACATTCGCCAGCCCAACGGGCCAGAGGCGTGCTACGATCTCCGGTAGTTGGTCAACAATATTTCTAGTTCGCGCGCGCGGGGCGGCCCCCTGGGGGTCCCCGGGCGAAAAATACCCCGGGCAAGTCCGGGGAGGAGACCCCGGACCGGGCAATTTTTCGACACCCCTCACGAGGATCGTGGCCTCCGAGGGGGGAGCCGCAATCGACTACACTTCCTCCCGCCCCAAGAGGCCCACAAGAGCCCCCCAAGAGGCCCTGGGGGCCCCCAAGACGCCGCAAAGGAGCCCCAAGAGACCCCCAAGAGGCTCCCAAGATGCCCTAAAGAGGGCTCCAGGGCCGGCGGAATGAGCGAAGCGATTCAATAATAAAAAATCGTCCCTAGATTATTTTCTTAAACTATTTTTGAATATTCCTCCTGTAGAGGGACAGGCCCGACTTAAACCTCGCGGCCTCGCTTCCGACGCCGTGGCGACTTCACAGGCGCGGCGCCAAAGCGGTAACGCCACTTTCTGGGGGATCGTCGAGGTTTTTCCTGGATGCCTCTCTAGGGGCCACAAGGGTTTCAGATCTGAAGCCGGCGGCGCAGGGTGGGCCAGCTTCCTCTCCACGGCTCCTGGGCAGGCTTCCCCGCAGGAGCCTGCTTGAACTCGCAGCGTGTCCCGGCAGGCATTTTCTATTCGTTCCCAGTATGTTTGCCGGAAGCCTTTCCGCAGCCCCTTCGAAGCTCTTTGGGAGCTTCTGCGAAGCTCCTATTCTTAAGCTTGCAGGCTTCCCAGGCATCCTTTCAAGCGTCCTTGCAGGGGTCTCCCATTTCTTTTAACGTGCTTTGGACCGCGCCACTATCTGGTTTTGGACGCCACAAGTTCTGTTGTCCGATAACTTTTCAGAGAACATGCGTACGTGTGCAGCGAGGCGGCAGGTCACAGGCGGGCCGCAACTCGGAGGAGGGCGTCGAGGACACGGGGTACTGCAAGTCCTGCTGCTCCTTCTCGTCCTCCCTCGCAGTCCCTGTCGTGCCTCTTCTCCTCCTCCTCCTCCTCCACCTCCTTCTGCTCCTCCTCTTCCTCCTCTTCCTCGTTGCCATTATGCTGCTTCTACTGCTTGCTTCTCTTGCATTGCCCCCTCCTCCCTCCCCCTCTCCTCACCGCCCAGTCCTTGTCATCCACCGTTTCTTTCTTTCTCCTTTTCCTCCTCCCCCATGGTCGTGCCTCTCCTACTCCCTCTCTCCCAACCTCTTCGCCTCCTCCTCCTCCTCCTCCTCCTCCTCCTCCTCCTCTTACTATCCCTCCTCCTCCCCCTCCTGATGCTGCTGCTGCTGCTCCCCTTCGTCGCCCACCCCCTCCCTCCTCAGGAGACCAGCGCGGGCCTCGCGCGCCCAGACCTCTTTGATCGGGAGCTGGCGCGCTGCCCCGCCGTCCCTCAACACAGGACGGCTCCACCGGTAGCGACACACACAGACGGCGGCCGCTCCCGATGGGGAGGGGGGTGCGCTGGACAGGGCCCCACCCTCCGCCCCCCTCGTCTTCCTCCTCCTCCGCCTCCTCCTTTCCTTCCCTCCTCTCTCCTCGGTCCTCCTCCTCCTGCCTGCTCCTTGCTCTCCATCTATCTCTCCACCTCCTGCCCTTCCTCCTCCTCCTCCTGCTTCCTCGCCCTTCTTCTGCTGCTACTCGTCCTATCCCTCCCCCACCGACTCCATATCCACCTCCTCCTGCTCTGACTCCTTTCCCTGCTCCTTCTCCTCATTCTCCTGCCCAGATGATCTTCAGGGTCCCCGCTCCCTCAGAGGGACGGAGAACTGCATGCGCTGTGCTGCGCCCTTTGCAGGTTGACAAATTACCCTCCTCCTCTGCCTCCTTGTCGTCATCCTCCTGCTCTTCCCTCCTCCTCCTCCTCCTCCTCCTCCACCACCTCCTCTTCTTCCCTCTCTTCCCTCCTGCTCCTCCTCCCTTGTCCTTTCTCCTACTCCTCCCCCTCCTCCTCCTCATTATCTATCTCTCTTGCTTCCTCCGCACTTCCTCCCTTCTCATTTCTTCTCTCCTTCATCTTCTCCTCATCTTCTCCGCCCCTTTAGCCCCTCAAGTAAGTCGAGATGACAGGACTGGCGACAGAGTGTGTGTGAAGACATGCAAAGATGCAATCACCATCCCAGACGAAACTGGTCGCGCCGGTTTCTCGAAGCCGCAACCCTGGATGCCAAACTGGATCTCGGGCATCTCTCGGCTGAGGTGCTCGATCACCTCGTCCGGCCAATCATGACAGGACAAGACCAACACACACACACATTAATTAATCCAAACGATGTGCACGAATGGGGACACACTGAGTGCGGCTATACCAGACGGCCCGCCCAATGATGGCACATTTCACCAGTCCAGCGGTTCTTCGCTTCTGATGCTCTCTCAGAGCAAGGCTCCTCGCATCGATCCCACCTTTCGTGGACAGGGACTCGCTCGATCGCCAAAGCTTGGCGGGCTGAGGCCGCCCATCTCTCGGAAGAAAGGCCCCCTTACTCTCAGCACGCGAGCTCGCACAATCATGAGCGGTGCTTCGTGTGTCCCTGCTGCCACCTTGCCAAGGGACCCGCGAGTCACTTCTACAGAGCTCGCATCGGAGCCTCCTTCATCCCATCTGCACTGAAGGGGCCCTGGGACACACACACACACACACACACACACACACACACACACACACACACACACACACACACACACACACACACACACACACACACACACACACACACACACACACACACACACACACACACACACACACACACACACACACACACACACACACACACACACACACACACACACACACACACACACACACACACACACACACACACACACACACACACACACACACACACACACACACACACACACACACACACACACACACACACACACACACACACACACACACACACACACACACACACACACACACACACACACACACACACACACACACACACACACACACACACACACACACACACACACACACACACACACACACACACACACACACACACACACACACACACACACACACACACACACACACACACACACACACACACACACACACACACACACACACACACACACACACACACACACACACACACACACACACACACACACACACACACACACACACACACACACACACACACACACACACACACACACACACACACACACACACACACACACACACACACACACACACACACACACACACACACACACACACACACACACACACACACACACACACACACACACACACACTCACACACACACACACACTCACACACACACAAATACACACAAATAATATGATTCCCAGTATTTCCCAATATTTTCTGGGTTTTTGTCTTCCCCGCACTTCCAATATTTTCCCATATTTTCGTGGGAATCGACGATTCATTGTGTCTGTGTGTTTTTCCCCTCGTGATAGACGCCGATCCCCCTCCACCTTCCACTTCCCGCCCTCCGCCTCGTCCCCCTCATCGGCGCCGATGGCACCGATGTCACAGATGACGTTGCTCCCGCCCCCCCAGGAGCCGTCGCCCCTGCGGTGGACGGTTGATCATATATATATATATATAGGTATATGTGAACACATGTATATTATACACATGTATGTATATTTATATGTACATATCATATTTCTGCATTTATGTCTTTATGTATACCTGTATATGTATATGTATTTGTGTGTATATATATGTGCCCATACAGGTACACCTCTATATTCACAAATACAAGCAAAACACCGAAGTGCGGAAGACGACCAGTGGACCCCCCGGGGGCGGAGAAGCTGTGCCCCCCTGCGCCCTTGGGGGGGAGGAGAGAGGCAAGGAGAAGGCCCCATGTCAGCGGGGACAGACATAGATGGGGAAGGTGGCTCGGCGGCACGGGCGCCGCGCTGAAGCGTTGGTTGGCAACCGCGGCGGAGGACGAGGACGAGGAGGAGGAGGAGGAGGAGGAGGAGGAGGAGGACGACGAGGACGAGGAGGAGGAGGAGGAGGAGGACGACGAGGACGAGGAGGAGGAGGAGGAGGAGGAGGGGAGGAAGAGGAGGGGGGGGGGGAGGAGAAGCAGGAAAAGGAGGAGGCAGGAGGGAGGAGGAGGAGGAGGAGGAGGAGGATGAGAAGGAGGAGGAGGAGGAGGAGGGAGGAGGAGGAGGTGGCGCAAAGGCCTCTCGGCCTTCCCCGTCGCCCGAATGGCAGCTCGAGCGGGAGCGCCCGCCGGTCCCGGCCAGGGATCCCTCGCCCGCCGAGGCGGGCGGAGGGCTCCCGCGGACGCAGCCCGGGGGCACCGGGCCGCGGGAGGTGTGCGCCAGCCTGTGGCGGTGGCCGCGTGCCTCGGCTCCTCCAGCCCCCATGCGATGGTTCTCCCGCCCCCCGACCCACCCCTCACACGCAGGCTGGTGAAGCCAGAGGAGGAGGAGGAAAGGAGCCCCGTCGTCGCCACGGCTGGACGCTGCTCGAGAGGAACTTCTTCCTTGGAGTCCCGCAACGGTGCGGTGACGGACCGTGCGGTGACCACGATGGTTCTCCCGCCCCCCGACACCACCCACGCAGGTGGGGCGATGGTGGTCCAGAGGAGGAGGAGTGGAAGGCGAGCGCGTCCGGCCGGCGGGCGCAAGCGTCGGCGGGCGGCAACCGAGGGCAGGGTGGGAGGAGAGGATAGCAGGCGAGGTGGCGTGATGGGGTAGGGGGGAGTGGGCAGGGCAAGAACTGGCACGGGCGGGGCTGAAGAGAGAGGTGAGGAGGCTGGTGTGAGCGATAGCCGCAGAGCTCCGTTGGGCAAGTGTGCAGCGGCTGCAGCGTGCCAGGCGGCCAGGCGAGGCTGGTGAGGAACGGGGGAAAGAGGCAGCGGGACTGGCTGAGATGCATGCGTGTGAATCCGGTTTGGCAGTAGCGGCTGCACTGGTGGCTGCGGCCGCCCTGGCCGACGCTGGGACGGCCGTCGACGATGCTCCTCCTCCTCCCCGCCCCCAAGATCTATGCAGCCCCCCTCCATGGATGCGAAAGTGGCGCTTGCCAGACATGGCTGCGAGGTGAAAGATAGAGGTTGGCGGCGAAACAAATGCAACTGGGATGGAGATAGATCTGTGGGCAGAGTGGGCTTGGAAGGCGGCGGAGGTGCGGTGGCATTTCGGTTGTTAAGTGAGCGTGCTCTGGCCAACGCGGCGTCTGGCGGACACCTAGATTGACTGTGCCGCTGCCAAGATGGCCGACGGCGTGCTTTCCTTGTTGTCCCGCACAGAATGGTCTCGATGCCCCGCCCATCCCGGGCCGCAAAAGTGGTGGAGGTGAAGGTCAGAGGGAGGGGGAAGGGGGTTGGCAAGTCGAGAAGTACGCAGCCGGTAGTTAGTGGGAGGCTGGGTGAGAGCAGCCAATTGGCCATGCTGATGATTGCTCCTTCGCGCCGCGTGCTTCCGAGGCCCCACCTGTTGGTAGGAATGACTTCCCTCCGGAGAATCACGTGAGACGACTCCATCGATTGGCGTGATCCTGACCACTGCGGGTTGGAAAACGGCGGAAGACCGCATCACACGTGCTACGTAGGACGTAGGACGAAGTGTCGTCCGGAAAACTGCACTCGCGTCGGATGAAGTAGCATGCTGTGGGCAAGAATCCCGCGGCGAATTTTGTATCCCTGTGCCGCGGACCCACTGCGTAGCATGGCGTATTTCCTAACATCGGAGCTGTCCCCGTGTGGTGGTGTTATGTGCTGTTGCGCCGTTGTAAACCACCCTGTGGGTGAGAAGGCCGCGGCGGGATTTGGAACCCTCTAATGCCGCGGACCCTCTGTAGCACGCATATGTACCTGCGATGATGTAGCCGACGCCGTGTGCTGGTTGTGGCAAGGAAGGTGGTGCCGAAGCGCTGTCGTTGGAGATGATGTGCCATGGTGGGTGCTGGGATGTAGAAAATCGCCGCGCCATGAGACGAGGTGGAGCTTGAGAGGGTTGAAGTCCCAACGTCTGGAGGCAGTGGACGTCTGCCCAACTGGCTGCTGCCGTCGTAGACGGTGAGTCCGGCGGTGGGGTGAGAGGGTGGCGCAACGATCGGGTGCAGCAGCTGGGGGCAGATGCCGAGCGCGCCGGTCGCCGGAGAGCAACACCGGTGGAGAGAGAGAGTGGCGCGCGGACAGGCCTCCGTGAGGCAGGCCCTGCCCCGGGCAGGAGGGTGGCGCTCGCCTCCTCGCCCGTGGCCGTCGGCGCTGGGCAGCGCGGTGGCGCCCCGGAAAGAGGCTGGCCCGTGCCGCGGGCCTGCTCGGCTGCGCGGTGGAAGGCGTCGGCGTCGTCGACGATCCGGCTGCGGACGGTCTCGTCGAGGGCCCGTCCGCCTTGCGTGGCGGCTCCCGCGCGCTGCGGCTTGGTGGTGGTCGCGTGCTGGGCCGGCAGCGGTCGACGCTTCCGCCTCGGTGGTTCCCCGATCTGGCAGGCGCAGCCGGGGCAGCCATGCTTCCTCGCTGCCGCCGTCCCCCGCTTTCGCCTCCGGCTGTGTGATCGGACAGCGTGTGTAACGTGCGCACTTGGTGCCGTCCGCTGGGCCGCTGCAGGGGTCTCCTTGGGCGTCTTGGGATCGAGGCCAGCCGAGGGGCATAGGAGGAGGAGGAGGAGGAGGAGGAGGAGGAGGAGGAGGAGGAGGAGGAGGAGGAGGAGGAGGAGGGGGAGGAGGAGGGGGGGAGGGGAGGAGGGGAGGGGGTGGTCCTCATCTGGGTCGTGACATTCCCGGGGCCTCCGCGCCTCGGCCGGCCGCCGTGGGAGGTGGGCGCGGTGCCGGGGCGGCAGCGCTCGCAGGTCCCCGGCCACCGGGCGCGCGCTGCGTGGAGGAGGCCAGCCCTGTTGTGAAGTTGGTGTCGCGAGGGGCCCATGGGGTCGGTGGCTCGTGTCGCCGCGGTGCCACTCGCGTCGTAGGGAACAGGCGAGCGCGCTCCACGACTGGCACAAAGTCTTTTCTCTCGCAAATGGCCTGCATCCGCCGCGGGGGATGTACGATCCATTGCGCAGAGGAAGGCATGTGTTCTTCGGGCATCTGCGTTTGGGCACTTTGCGAGTAGTGGAACGCGCTCGATGAGGGAATAACCTTCGGCTGGGCATACGCAGATAAGGTGGCAGATGGGTGTGTCTGAGCATCTTGCCTCCTGCTGGGCTTGCGAGTGACGCTGTTGCTCACGTCTGGATTGCCTTTGGTGTGAGGTGGGGCGGTGGGGTCGTCGTGTCCCTATGGCGCCTTCGGGAGGTCGGTCTGGTGCGGCTGGTCAGAGTATTCTAATAATCGGGTCATATGTCGGATCATGTCGTTTGCAATTGTCTTCTGAAATGGGGTTGTGATGACGGGCATTGCAATGCCCTGGGGGCTCTATAGGACACCGATTCGACGTAATCCGCCATCTCATCGTAGTCTCGTTGATCGTTTGCATATGGGGTGTGGTCAACATGCTCGGTGTTGCTGGTCGGGTCGGCCATCGTACTGGTGCGTGCGGTCTGGCGGCTTGGTCTCGTGGTGGGAATGCGTTGACGACATGCTCCATTACATGGCCTTGCTCGTGCCGTGTCCGTCGGTGCGCGTCGAGCGCTGGGCCGTGGAGGTCGTGGGGCTTCGTCAAGTTTTATAGAGGCTGTCCTTGATTATCTGGTGGGCATGGATCTTGAAGCGTAAGTCCTCGACGTCGTGATGGATGCTGCTGGTCGTATTCGCCAATCGGTGTACAGCAATATGCTCCATCTCCATTTCATTGTTCCGCTCCGTGCTGCCGCGGGCGTCTCCCCGACCAGAGCTGGCGCTGCTCCGCATGCGGTGGGCCATTCCGCTGCATGTCTTGACCTTGGGTGCAACTTTCGGGGGGGCAGGGGGGCAAGGCTTGTGGTGTGCGTTGGCGCTGTCGGTCTTTGGCGTCGGTTTGACCATTGTGTAACGGTTTTCCGTGGTGGTCGGCCCATGCCTTGGGGGTAGTGGCTTAGCTGAAAACTCCTGGTAGCGGTGGTGGTCTGGTAGTGATGCTTTGCATCGCTCCGGTCTCTGGCCCTGATCGGTGGTGCTGCTGGTTTTGGCGGGTGTGCTGTCGGAATCGGGGCTGAAATAGGGTCGGGTGCTGATGTTGAGGATGGTCGTCATGCTGGTCGATGTTGTGCGGCCTCGTTGCGTCGTCTGCTGGAGTGTTTGTCCTCAAGCCTGTTAGTGTGCGTTAGTGAGGGTCTTGGGATAAAAGGTTGATCAGGCTCCCTCTCTATCCTGTCGCAGCTGCTCGTCCAGCTGGTTGGTCGAGTTGGTGCTCTGCCCGAGCTCGAAGAGCTGGTCGTCCTGGCGGTTGTTGCCTCGACATGCGCATGGCTGTCGCTGGTGGTACTGGATTCTGGATCTTCATGACGACCCTAACTTCGCTATGCCCTCCCTGTTGAGAATGCTACCATATCAAGATGGGTGTTCATAATGATGTTCAACCAAGATACGACATTTGAGTGCTCCGCGATGTCAGCGCTTAACGTATCCATGTCTATCTCGTTGACCCGGCCGTTGATATCTTCGAATTGTGCTTTGTAGGTGCTGTCGGTGATCTTGTACTTTACGGTGTGCATGTCGAAGGCCGATGTCGCCTTGCGCACCATGTGGTCCTGCTCGTTGTAAAAGAACTCCGCGTTGTTGCCAGGTAGACCCCGTTTCCATCTGTAGAATAGCAAGTCGCTATCACCCTATACCGAAGCGAGCGTGTTCGTACTGAAATGGAACATTGGTCTCTCCAGTTTGTCGCACTGGGCGTATGGTACGTTGCCCACGGCTGTGGGCATGGCAGCTGGTGGGTGTGGTTGAAGGGCATGCATGGCGGCCTGCCTAGCTCGTGGCGCCGTCTTGCCCAGTCTGCCTGGTTACACCTCCTGTGGCCTGGTTGGTGTGCTGGTGGTGGTTGGTATGCTTAGGTCGGGCATGTCCTCCTACTGGCGTGTCATATTCGAAAATCGTACCCAGACTATTCTTGTGGGTATTCTTGAATAGCGTCCCGAAGAAGGGCATGCTCGACTTACGGGCATGCTGGTGCCGCCGGCCCCGCTGCCCGTGGATGCGCGTGGGCCGGTTGGCGGCGTGGTGCCCTTCCCGATGCGGGGCTCGCTGTGCGCCGGCGGTCGTGAGGGACGCTGGTGTGGTCGTTTCGCGGTGGTCGCGACCGCTCTTTCCGTCCGATCCGGCTCCCTCCCGGCTGAAGGGGATGATCTCGGCAGCTCTCCTGTGCGGCGCGGGTCCTGAGGGCTGTCGCAGGACGCCGTAGTCGTCCGAGAAGCTGCAGTAAGCGTTCGCCGCCACCTTCAGGTCGTTGCCCTGAAGCGAGAACAAGTTGTGGACGCCTGCTGTAGGGACCTCCATGTAGCCGTTCACCAGGACATTGTCGGGCTCGACCCAGTTGGGAGGTACTCTCGGTTGAGTGCGTCGTATCAGTGTAGCCTCGGCGGGTGGGAGCTTGGTAGGAGCTGCCAGAACGATGTCGACCTCTCCCGTTGGCTCGATGTCGGTGGGGCCGTACCATTTCACACCTCCTAAGGGTGTTGTTGGAAAATGGTCTTAGTTGGAATTCGTATCCTGTGTGGAACTCGCCGGTGACAATCGGTGGCGCTCGGCATTCCGCACTCCAATTCCTCGGGTGCTCCAACTCTTCGTCCGTGACCTCGATGAGTGGTACGGGTCTGCCAGCCGGGTCGTCCTGATCCACGTGTAGGCCTCCCAGAGTCTCCCTCCTCCTGCCCCTCGCTCTCCTCCTCCACCTCCTCTTCCTCCTCCTCGCTCTCCTCCTCCACCTCCTCCTCCTCCTCCTCCTCCTCCTTCTCCTCGCCCTCCCCCCTGCGTCACGCTATTCCGACGCAACTGTCGAATCACGTTGTGCGGAGAGCGCGCGCTGCTCGCATACGCAGCTGCGGCAACGGCCAGCCACCGTGCACAGGACTGAGAGCCAGGGTGTGCAGCTGTCCGTGGAAATCGCTCCACCGACTCGGAATACGCCCGATGGGTCGTGTAACGTGCCGAAGGGTATCTCTGAGCGAATGCTGCCGTGTCAAGCCATTCGACAAATCGCCCCCGTCGCCCTGAGACCCGCGAGCATCCGAATCCGTTCGTACTGAGCGCTGTGTGGCGAGGCGAGCCGGAAACAGGCGGGGGTCGGGGCAGCAGCGCCAGAGCCCATCGGTAGACGCCGCCAGGCCTCATCTCCACCTTCGAGTTCACGGGAATAACCTAGAGGAGCAACAAACATCATAAACACAAACTTTTGACGGTCCGCGCGGATTTCTGGGATCTGCACTGAACCACCCTCCCTGGCGCGCGGAGCGCGCCATGGGCGGCGCCGGAGGCGCCGCCAAGAGGGCCCATGCGCCGATTCAAGAGATCCACGCGGAGCGTCGAACATTTATGCTCGTGCCGTGAGGGGACTACCCCGCCACAACCCGAGAAAAAAACGAACAGAGACGAACGGATGCAAAGCCTAACCGGTAACCCTTACACGAAACTTCGACTCGCCCGAAACGTGCCAATCGTTGTCGAACAACGCCTGAAAACGATTCGTGCAGTCTGAAACCACAACAACAACATACGGGCTTGTCCCGACAGCGCTGTTGCACCAATACCGTGCAAATATTACACGCGTGCACCACAAACTCAAAACAACACACTGCATATATTGTGCCTGCTGCCACAGGGGGGAGGTAGCGTGTATCCGGAAGCGCTCGGAGCAGCCCGCGGGAAGGCCCAAGCGTCAGGCAGCTTGGTGTTTGCAGGACGCGGGCGCGCGGCTCTCACGAACACGCGTGCAGCCCAGACAGATGATCGGGCCATCGCGCCTGTGCAACTGAAGATCAGACTTCTACGAACCCCAAACATCTCCAAACCATTGGAAAGCACAACTGCGCCTTGCTCGCCATGGTCGGCGTCTGGAGACGATGTCTGGACCCCGGGACCATCTAGTTAAAACTGCTCGAGACGAGCAACTGGCCCTGTGGAAGGTGTCGAGAGGTCTCGGGCCATGTGTCAAAGCATCACCATCTCGGCGGTCTAGGAACACCTTGTATTCAGGACAGACCGTTCGGCGATGCCCCAGGGGCGTCTGAATGAGGTCTCCCTCGAAGATATCGCGTCCGTGCCTCGCGTCATCAGACTTGACAGGATCGACGGACACCAAGAATATGCACATCTTCCAGAACACAACTTCATATTCAATCGCAACTGACTACTGAGCCGCTTATAGACGAAGTCATGGCACGTGCTGTTTGCAAGGCCCTCCCCGCATGAGAGCCAGATCTCTTCTTTCGTAGTCCCCGCTCTTCTCTACCACATCCTTCCAAGGGCCGCCTATGATGAACTGGGACACCAGATCCTTGCAGCAGAGTGTTCAGTCAGAAGGAAACATATAATTTATCTTGATTGTTGCTGGGAATGAAAGCCCCTGTGCTTCTGCCCAAGACAAGTTGGACGGCACGAGTGAATCCTTGGTGAGCGACTGCCTGCTGCACTTGTGCATTCCACGTGCTCGCCAGTCGGGCAGCGACTTCTTGTTTTCCACACCAACGCTGATACTCCTTATGCAAACCGCGATCATGGAACCTCTCCCCGATTCCGCTCCCAGCAAGGTCATCAAGGGCTCTGCAACCCATCTTCTTACTTTCTCGTGTTCTCGTGAGCCTGGGGTCCCACATGAATTCGCCGGCCCAACGGGCCAAGGGCGTGCTAAGATCTCCGGTAACAGGTTAGCAGTATTTCTAGTTCGCGCGCGCGGGGCCGCCCCTGGGGGTCCCCGGACGAAAAGTGAGAACGGGGGATTCTGGGGTGGCGGTTTTGGGGGGCCGACGCGCGGCACGATTGACTTCCGAGGTGCGTATTGCAGCGCGGGTGGGGGTGAGAAGGAGGGTCTGGTAGATCGAGAGAGAGCGGGAGAGAGAGAGAGAGAGAGAGAGAGGGAAGGAGCGTCGGAGAGAGAGAGAGAGAGAGAAACACATATATATATATAGAGAGAGAGACAGAGAGAGAGAGAGAGAGAAAGAGAGAGAGAGAGAGAGCCAGAGACTTAAAGAGAGAGAGAGAGAGATGGATGGAAAGAGAGAGAGAGAGAGAGAGAAAACAAGGAACAATGCGCGGAAGCGGCGTGGTAGGGGGGAGGGGAGAGGGAGGGAGCGGGAGAGGGAGGAAAGGGCGAGAGGCCAGAACGCCCCCTCTACCACCCGCGGCGCCGCCTGGGGGGGTGGGTGCGGGGGGGGGGGGGAAATGCAATTTTTTTTTCCCCCCCCCCCCCCCCCCCCCCCCCAAGAAGCGCTCGAGGGCCGCCGCTCCGAGGCCGCCGCTGCTGGCTTCGAGGGCCGGCCCCGCCGCCGCCACTTCCGATGTCCCCTGGTGCCCCTTGGGCCCCCTGATCCTCCTCCCCCCTTTGCCTGCACCTTGCTTTCTTTTTTCTGTTCGTCCACGGCGGCGCGCTGGCGGCGGCCCTGACAGCGATTGTTTCGGACTGGTGGCTCCTGTGGAATAGCCCCAGTACGATGCCAGGAATATTGTGGTGATGCTCCACTGCTGATGCGATGCTCCAGTTCTACTGGGCGAGGCATTGCTTGGCATTCGTTGGCCATGCTTGGAGCTGCTTGCAAACGAGTGCTCCTGCTTGGCCTTGGTTGGTTGTGCTTGGCGTTGCTTGGTTGCGTTTGGTATTGAGTGGTCGTGGTCGGCTTTACTTCGCACTGGCTACTCGCGTTTGGCATTTCTCAGCATTGCGCGATTGCGCGTGGCATTGACTGGTCGACCTTAGCATTGCCTGGCATGGCTTGGTCGCGCGCGCCATTGAACAGTCGCGCTTGGCATTGCGTGGCATTGGTTGATCATGCTTGGCGTGGATTGGTCGCGCATGGCATTGAATTGGCGTGCTTGGCATCGCTTGGCATTGGTTGGTCATGTTTGGCGGTGCTTGGCAATGTGTGCCCCCGCTCTTGCCATTGCCTGGCGCGTGTAGGGCACGCTTGGCATTGGATGGTCGTGCTTGGCATTGGTTGGTCGTGCTTGGCGTTGTTTGAAACTGTTTGGTGAGCCATGGCGCTGCTTGGCATTAGTTGGAGGTTATCAGCATTGGTTATTTGTGCTTGGCATTGCCTTGAATTGGTGGGTCGTGGTTGGCGGTGCTAAGCAATGGGTTGTCCTGCTCTTGCCATTGCCTTCCATCTTTAGGCGCTGCTTGGCATTGAATAATATTTACATGACTAGGGGAACCTGATTGAATAACCATCACTGGTGAATTCTGGCGGAGGAATCTTCACTCAGAAATCCTTAGTCAGGAGTTTTCTAAAGCAACACAAAGTTCATCCTTTTGCGAGGAATATTCTCGAAGTCGGCGAAGAATCTGCATGGGGGGATCCGCATGAGATATCGTTGCTGAGGGATCCTTGCTACGGAACCTGTTATAAGAGATCCTTCGTCGGGAATTTCGAGGGAGCCTGAAGCAGGAATCGTGATTAAAGGGGTCCATAGTACTGAATACTTACAGAGGAGGTCGTAGTAAAGGAACTTCACGAAGTAATCCGTAGGTTGGTCGTGCTTGGCGCTGTTTGAAACTGTTTGGTGATCCATGGCGCTGCTTGGCATTAGTTGGAGGTTATCGGCATTGGTTATTCGTGCTTGGCACTGCCTTGAATTGGTGGGTCGCGGTTGGCGGTGCTAAGCAATGGGTTGTCCTGCTCTTGCCATTGCCTGGCATCTTTAGGCGCTGCTTGGCACTGAATAGTATTTACATGACTAGGGGAACCTGATTGAATAACCATCACTTATGAATTCTGGCAGAGGAATCTTCACTCAGAAATCCTTAGTCAGGAGTTCTCTAAAGCAACACAAAGTTCATCCTTTTGCGAGGAATATTCTCGAAGTCGGCGAGGAACCTTCATGGGGGGATCCGCATGAGATATCGTTGCTGAGGGATCCTTGCTACGGAACCTGTTATAAGAGATCCTTCGTCGGGAGTTTCGAGGGAGCCTGAAGCAGGAATCGTGATTAAAGGGGTCCATAGTACTGAATACTTACAGAGGAGGTCGTAGTAAAGGAACTTCACGAAGTAATCCGTAGGTTGGTCGTGCTTGGCGTTGTTTGAAACTGTTTGGTGATCCATGGCGCTGCTTGGCATTAGTTGGAGGTTATCGGCATTGGTTATTCGTGCTTGGCACTGCCTTGAATTGGTGGGTCGTGGTTGGCGGTGCTAAGCAATGGGTTGTCCTGCTCTTGCCATTGCCTGGCATCTTTAGGCGCTGCTTGGCACTGAATAATATTTACATGACTAGGGGAACCGGATTGAATCACTTATGAATTCTGGCAGAGGAATCTTCACTCAGAAATCCTTAGTCAGGAGTTCTCTAAAGCAACACAAAGTTCATCCTTTTGCGAGGGATATTCTCGAAGTCGGCGAGGAATCTTCATGGGGGGATCCGCATGAGATATCGTTGCTGAGGGATCCTTGCTACGGAACCTGTTATAAGAGATCCTTCGTCGGGAGTCTCGAGGGAGCCTGAATCAGGTATCGTGATTAAGGGGTCCTTAGTATTGAATATTTACAGGAGGAGTTCGTAATAAGGAAACTTCACGAAGGAATTCGTAGACAATTAACTACGGAGAATTCAATCAGGAATCTGCACGAGAGAATATTTACAAAACAATCCTTGATAAAAAGGCGCCTTGCTGGAGAATCCCTTCTCCGGAACCATTGCCAAGGAATCCTTAGCAAGGAATTTGCACAAAGGATGCTCATTAAAGAGTCCCTATTAATGAATATGTATTAAAGCAACCTGCATCAAGAAACCTGCATCAAGAAACCTGCACTAGAGGATATTCGCGAAGGATTATTTCGCAACAGCTATGTGCTAAGGAATCTGCATTAAGAGATCTGCATTGACGAATGCGCATTGAAGAATCCTTCTTGGGGCTTCCTCACTCAGGAATCATCGCCCAAGACTCCTCACTCAGGAATCCTTAGTCTGGGAACTTTACCAACCCATGCTCTGGAATCTTCACTAAAGGGCTTTTAAACAAGGAGTATGCGTTATGTAATCCTTGCTCATAAATCTAGATTAAGGAACCTCCATGTATGAACACTACGGAATCCTCGGTGAGGAACGTGCTTTGAAGAATCTGCACTCTAACGAATCTTCACTGAGGAATCCTCATTGAGAACTCCTCCTTCGCAAGGAATCTGCAGTAAGGCACATGTACGAAGGAATCTGTGTCCAGGAACCTGTACGAAGGAGTGCTTCATGAGTAATCTGTGTTAAGGAACCCGTAGTAAGGAATTTTGATTAAGGAGTCCGGGCAAAGGAATCGTCAGTGAGGAATTATTGCCAAGGAATCTAAATTCATGAAACTCGATTGAGGCGTCTTTATTGCACAATCTGCACCAAGCAACTCTTACGAAGGGTTCGTGATTCATAAATATGTTCGAAAGAATCTGCATCATGGAACCCTGATTAAGGAACGTTTACTGAGGAATTCTTCCTCAAGAATCCCCCCTGAGGAACATACACAAGGAAATCGCAGGAGACGGCGGACGCTGCGCGCAGGCCCTGCCGACCCCGACGGAGCCGGCGGACGCCGCGCGCAGGCCCCGCCGACCTCTGCAGTCCTAACGAAGCTCGAATTGCCATCAGGATGCTGCCAACAATGCGCCAAACGCCAGGGCGAAAACACCGCGTTTGAAACAGATTCGCGGCCTCGAGGCGAGAGCGCGAAATGCCGCCGCGGCGCGGGCCCCAGACCGCCACCCAGAATCCCCCGCCCTCCGAAAAGTACCCGGGCAAAGTCCCGGCCGGGTCCCGGCCAGGTCCTGGCCAGGTCCAAGCAGGCTCCCAAGAGCGTTCCAGGAGCGCTTCAAATGGCCTCCAAGGAAACTCAACATGGGCCGAGACGGTCCAAGAGCGATCCAAGACGCCAAAGATGGGCTCCAGACAGCCCAGAGCGCCTTCAAGACGCCCCACGAGGCCTCCAAGAGACCTCCCACGAGGGCCCACAGAGGCAGAAATGAGTGATAATCCTAAAAATATTGAAGGTTTTTGGCGTTCTCGCCTTTTCGGCTTACCGGTGCTCCAAGACGGCCCAAGAAGCTTCAAGGGTCGCCCCAACACGGCCCAATAGGCCTCCAAGATCGCCCAAAACGGCCACAGAGAGCCCCAAGACAGTCCCAAAGGCTTCCAAGACGGCCGAAGAGGCTCCCAAGACGGCTCCAAGAGCGGGCCCAGACGGGGGACCCGAACGGACATTTCGAGCTCTCGGCCACAAGAGGCGCCCAGGAAGCCCCCAGAGGCCCCCAAAACCCCTCCAAAAGGCCACAAGAGGCCCCCAAGAGGCCCCAAAAGAGGCCCCCGAGACTCCCAACAGGCCCCCAGGAAGCCCCAAGAGGCCCCCAAGAAGCCTCCAAGAGGCTCCCCAGAGGACTCAAAACTGCTCCCCAGAGGCTCCCTCCAAAAAGACCCCAAGAAGCATCCATGAGAACTTAGACCCTCAACCCATGTACGTCTCGAAACAAAGCAGGAGCTCTATTAAGCCATCGTGGCGCTCTTGGGCAGTCAATCGGCTCTCTTCGATAGAGTGCGAACCACATCTCCAAAGATCTCCTCGAAGACCGTCCTGCCTGCCCTACCGTTCCCCCTGGGCACGAGCACACCACCACGCTGAATGACCGAAGCGATCAAACAAGTGGCACGCGTGCCCTGGCTCTTGTACAAAGGAGCTGCGAAGGACAGGAGGCTCCCGCATCCTTCCTTCAGGAGGGGCTTCCGAGCTGTAGAATGCAGCGGGTAAGACCAGAGGGGGCGGCCAGGGGGGGTAGAGCGAGGGGAGCCAGGGGGGAGGACGAACGACGAACGAACAAACGACGACGACGACGAAATTAAGGAAGCCAAGGAGAAGGGGGAGGACGACGAACGGGAGGCCGGGGGGGGAGAGCGAGGGGGGCTGGGTCCAGGGAGTGGTTTAGGAGGCCAGGGGGGGGAGCGAGGGGGTCTTCCTGTAGAACCCAGCCTCGGGGTGGATAGCGCCCACGAGCTGGTCCTGTGCGGCCCACTTGTGCTGTGCAGGCGGTGCGGGGCGTACGTCTCCGCAGTGAGGGGTGCCAAGAGGCTGAAGGACCAGTGCCCAGGCCCCCTCACACCTCTCGACACGTGTAGCCCTGCGGAGCGCGAGCGGCGCAGACGCCGCGAGCGGCTCCTGGAGGGTCTCCACCCCACCTCGGGTGCAAGCCTGGGGGCGCAGCTTGTGCCTTAGCGCAAGCGCGGGGCCTCTCAGGCCCGGCGCCTGCTACGATTTTTCCGTGGAGACCTCGAGGGCGAGGCGAAGGTGCCTCAGCTATGTGTTACGGGCAGCCTGAGGTTTATTGCATGGCTGCGTCGAGGGCCCTCTGGAGGGTCGGTGGACTCCCACTGCGCCGCGGCTGTGTGGTGCAGGCTGTCGCCCGCTAGTCGACGGGGGCGTCGACTATTGATTGAGGGCCTCAATGGTCCGCTGGCCAGCCGAAGGATTGGCTAGCCGTGGTTGACGGCCTACGGTATGTGGATTCTGCGGAGCTTCAGGACGTGGCGCGCTAGGGGAATCGACACACATACACACAGACACACACACAGACACACACAGACATACACACACCACACACACCACACACACACACACCACACACACCACACACACCACACACCACACACACCACACACACCACACACACCACACACCACACACCACACACACACACCACACACACCACACACACACCACACAAACACACACACACACCACACACACACACCACACCACACACACACGCACGCACACACACAGACACACACACACAGAAACATACACACACACGCACACACATACATACATACACACCACACACAAGCAGACAAACACACGCAACACACATTGTCCCTCTCTCACACACATTCTCTCTCACACACACACACGCACAATGACAAACACAGGCACAAACACAAACACAACCACAAACACACATACACACATACACACAACTCACGCACAACACACACACACCACACACAAACACGCACGCACGGACACACAAGCAGACGCATACACGTGCACCCTTGACACACTCGCCGTGCGCCTCGTGCGGGACATATAGATGATGCCTCGTCTGACGAGCTCGGGAAGTGTCTCCTCCTCCCATCCCTTTCCTTGACCGGCAGGAAGGCCAACACAAGAGCCACGCCCGACGTGCCTGCCTGCTGCCTCCAGACCTCTGGCGCCGGGTCTTCTTCCAGTGCTTGGGCGGCGCTGGACGTCCTGGCTCCTTTCAGGGGGCCTGCTTCGCGTCCCACAGAATCTTGTGGTGGCCCTTGAGCCCGAGGACGGCCCCCGGAGGCAGAAGACCGTGGCAGACATACATACCATTGGTTATCAGGACGCGAGGTGCGGGTCCAGAGTTTCGAAGCAGATCCAGCCGTGGCCGTGGTGCCCCAGGAGGCCCAGAAACGCTGAGAAACGTAAGCCCATCTCGACCCTCCCCTCCTCCTCTTCCGTCGTCCTCCCTCCTCCCCCCTCCTCCTCCTCCTCCTCCTCCTCCTCCTCCTCCTCCTCCTCCTCCTCCTCCTCCTCCTCCTCCCCCCTTCCCTTCACCTGTTCCTCGTCATCGTCGTCCTCCTCCTCCTCCACCGGCTCCTCCTCCTCCTCCTCCTCCTCCTCCTCCTCCACCATCTCCCCCTGCAACTCCTCCTCTGGGTCTGGATCGCCCGACCACTGCGCCCTTCCTGGGGCTGCCCGGCGCGGGCGTCCTCCGACAGCACGGCCCACGCAAAGGGCGGCCGCTGGGCGCGGTTCCTCTGCCACCTGCAGAGGAGCACCTCGGGGGGGCGCTTGCTTGCAGTGGTGAGGCTTGCCCTGTATTGCGGGATGACGATTAATAAAGAAATGAAGAAGAACGATACAAAATAGTTTTCTGCAATTTAAGCACAGCTTTCTGACTGGAGGAGAACGATTTTTTAAATAAAAAACCTAGTCTTCCAGCCCGCGGCCGGTGTTTTCTAATCGTCATCCCGGGCGCCGCCGCGTGAACACGACCCCCGGTCATTCATTCATCGTCATCCTCCATTACCCTCGAGCATCCGGGGGAGAAGAGCCCACCAGCCCTCGCCCCCTCGGGGGGGGGCGCGGGTGGGTCTGGCCAGGGGGGTGGCCTTGCACCCTCGAGCATCGGGGAGAAGAACCCACCTGCGCGGGTGGGCACCTTTTACCCTTCCCCCTCCCCCTTCCGTGGGTCTGGCCTGGGGGGAGGCCTTGTACCCTTGAGCATCGGGGAAAAGAACCCACCCGCCCTCGCCCCCTCGGGGTGCGTGGGTGGGCACCTTTTACCCCTCCCCCTCCCCTTCCGTGGGTCTGGCCAAGGGGGTGGCCCTGTGCCCTCGAGCATCTGGGGAGAAGAACCCACCAGCCCTCGCCCCCTCGGGGTGCGCGGGTGGGCATCTTTTACCCCTCCCCCTCCCCCCTCCGTGGGTCTGGCCAGGGGGGTGGCCTGGTCAGTTCGAGGGTTCGAGAAGGCCCGACATGGCGCCAAGACCGCCTCCGATGGTACAAGATGACATCGAAGATGGCACAGTCTATCCTACGATGACCTCCAGCATGCATCCAAGAAGCTTCAAGACTGCCCCAAGATGGCTCCAGGTTCCTACAGAGCCTCCCAAGGATATTCCCGAGAGGAGATGCCACAAACTTATATGACGTATGACTTTATCAAATGCTGTACAGTGGAGGGTGCTTCGGAAAATCGGGCTGGGCTCGTCTCGAAGACGAGCCCTGAGACGACACCAAGCGCAGGAGGAGGCCGAAAGCCGATGCTGGTCTCACTGCATATCCGGTAGAAGACTGGGGGTCTAGCTGTCTCGACGGTAATCCAAGCTTGCTCACCTGGTCGGCACTACAGTCGGGGCGTTGACCTAAGGAACCTTACATCAGGGACGAGGTCCCTCTTTCTCATCAGTTGAACTTCGATTCCCCATGGGAGACCTCAGGAACACTCAAGAAGCAAACTGTGAAGCGATCGAGGAACACCGAGCCCCTCCCCAACGAAAAGGGCTCCTTCCTCAGCGCCCCAACTGTATTGACGAACCAACAACACACACCCATACCCATAGGGGGGTCGGAAAAAGGGCTATGGGTGCGTGTTTTGTCGGATGGGGGTCCCCGCTCGAACGGGAGCGTTCCCTGGGGTCCGACAACCCGCACCCGTGCCCATAGCCAGTCCTCCTCCCAACGTCCCCCTTATGGGTATGGGTGTGTGTTGTTCGTTCGTCATGTACACCCTGCGAAATGCTTAAGAAATAATGGGTTAAGAAATTCATAGTCTCAGAACTTGAATAAAAAAACCCAACATTTCCATTCAACTCTTAAGATTTACATTGAACTGTTAAGAACAATCGAGCCTCTGGCCGAAAACTTAAGTTTTCGTAAGCATCGCCTAAGGTGTGTGCCAGCTCGCTGGCCTGCCAAGGGTGTCGCGTCGGCGCCCGCGCGCAGCACGCCTCTCCCGGAGCCGGGCGGCCGCCGAGAGACGGCCCGCGGCAGAAGCGCCGGGGCAGCTCTCCGCGCAGAGGTTGTGAACACACGCCTGCTGTGGGATCGACCGGTGCGGAGCGAGTCTGACGACCGCTGCTTTCCCCGAGCACGAAGGAGACTTCGCGTACGGTCGGGGCGCTGAAGAAGGAGCCCTGTTCGTTGGGGCGGGGCTCAGTGTCCCTCGATTGCGTCACAGCTTGCTTCTTGAGTGTTCCTGAGGTCTCCCGTGGGGAATCGAAGTTGAACTTATGAGAAAAAGGGACCTCGTCCCTTATTTAAGGTTCCTTAGGTCAACGCCCCGACTGTAAGCTGGGACGGCCCTCCGCGCAGGGGTTGCGCACGCCTGCTGCGGAAGCGACTGGTGCGAAGCGAGTCCGACCACTGCTTTCCCCGGGCACGAAGGAGACTCCGCGTACAGTCGGGGCGTCGACCTAAGGAACGATAAATGAGGAACGAAGCTCTTTTTTTATCCCAAGGAATAACGCATGAGGAACGATACATAATACATAACGCATAAGGACCTGTAAATAACGCATGCAAGCCTAAGGAACGACCGAGCCCCGTTTGAAAAGTAAGTGTTCCTTATTCAAGCCGCTCACTGTATCTTCTGCGCGGGCTCCAGCCGCGGCGCGTGAATTGCGACGCGGCCGCGCCCGACTCTGGCAGGAACAGTGACTCGATCGGAGTGCCTGCCAGCCTGCTTGTGTCCGATGTGGCGCCCCTGATCCCTCAAGACTCCAGGCGCCTCCTAAACGGCCCCAGGAGTGCACAAGACCGCCCCACGAGCACCCGAGTTTGTTTTTGTTTGTTCTTTAAACCCTAAGCCCTAAACCTTAAACAACCCTAAACCCTGAAACCTAAAAAAACACACGCGAGCGCCCGAGTAGTGCTCCAAACGACAAAATGTCGAGCTCCGACGGATGGGCTCTGACTAGCGCCGCCTATGTTTCATCAGCCGATGATTCGAAGAAACCTTAGGGCTTAAACAGACTTCCTGGGTATGCCTGGGAGGCTTTTGGGTCGATGTGGTTCCAAGACGGACCCAGATGCCCTATGATGGCCTCGAAGATGGCCTCCGAGATCGCGCAAAATGACCTCCAGCATGCCTCCAAGAGAGGTTCAAAGATGGCCCCGATACGGCTCCAACTAGCCTGGGACCCCCAGGATCGCCCTCGAGAGTCCAATATCATTCAAACGCTTAGCGCATTTGTTGGGTGGGTGGGTGCTTGGGAGAGGGTCCATAGATTTGAGAGGGCGATACTGGGCACATGCGAAGGTGGGGGCCCAACGTCGTGCTCTTTTCGCAACATGGGCCCCCTGAGGTCTCGCCCTCGTCCCTGGGGCCCGCTTCTCATCCCGGGCATTTCTTGACTGCCCTCGTGCCCCGTGTGGGCCCCGCAGGAGCCGAACTTGGCCAACAACACCCCGCCGAGCTTTCCTTCACGCGAGTTCCTTCCTGCGGCGCCGTGATCCATGGTTCTCCGGCTTTAAGATGAAGCCCGGATCGGGGCAAAGTTTGACCGGTATAAAAATCATGCTCGGTTTTTCAAATCACCGGGGGCGCCGCCGACCGGGCCTGCCACGCCTTGGAGCGCGAAGCCGCTTCGCGCTCCGGCCCTACAAGGCCCTCCACTTCGCTGCGCGCACGTCCGGCGCTCGCGCACAAAAGGTCCGCACGTCCTGAGCGCGCTCTCCCTCCGACCCGCGCTCTCCCTCCGCCTCCCGCCGCCCCTGCTTCGGCGCCTCTCCTCCTCCTCCTCCTCCTCCTCCTCTTCCTCCTCCTCCTCCTCCTCCTCCTCTTCTTCCTCCTCCTCCTCCTCCTCCTCCCTTCGCCTCGGAGGCGCCCCCTGCGTCGCCCGAGCGCTGCTCGCGCCCGGCGGCCGCCGACCAAGCACGTCTTCTCCACGCGAGGGGGGCCGGGGAGGACTTCGGGCCGACGGGGCGACGGGGCGGGGGCCGCCGCGGCGCCGCGGCAAGAGCGGCGCCCAGCGCGGCGGCGGCGCCCGGCGCCGCGCCGCTGGGGGGGCCGTCGGCGCCGTCGGCGGCCGCCGGCCTGCGCCGGGGATGCGCGGCGAGCGCGTCGCAGCAGCAGCGGATCGATGTGACAGTCAACCCGTATGGCAAGGATGCGGGATGAGGATGCAAGGGCCGTGGATGCCCATTTGGAAGCTTCCCGAGCGGGGCGCGGCCAACGGAGGTGGTCAAGGATAGACCGAAGAGGCAAGGATGCGAGGGTACCCTTGGGAAGGTCGCCCATCCTTACTCTGCGGGTTGACTGTAGCCAGCGTGGACCCCGAGCTGTGTGTTTCTAGCAGAATCTGTGTTGTGCCATCGATGCGGTGCAGTTGGCGCGGTGCAATCGAATTGGTGCGATCTGTGCAGTTCAGTCTTGTGTCCCTTAGAAAAAAAGTCAGAGCCCCCAAGTGCAAGCACTTTTTGGGGACTATCTATATGTATAGGAGCAACACGCGCGTTCCCGACAGCACGCCTCTGCTGAGCAACACGTTTCTCTTACACCGAGTCTTTCACTCCCTCGTGCCGTGCGCTGAGCGTGAGGAGCGGGAGGGGGAGGCGGCGACAGATCCCGCCGCCAGGCTCTGCTGGGGAGGGCGGGATCGATGGCAGCGGCGCACCAGCGCAGCACCGTCCGCAGAAGCAGCAGGCGGGGACCGATGAAGCAGCAGCAGAGGGGGGGGAGACGTGCCCCACAGGAAGCTGCCGCCGCCGCGCCCCCTCGCCCGAGTGGTCTGTGCCAGAGTTAGGTCGGGCATGTCCCCCCCAACAGGCGGATCTTGGACGAACAATTACAGACAGTAAACGAATATTCAAAGCATTCAAACATGGTGAAACATCGTCCCCATGATATTTTCGGACTCTTTTTGAAGATTCCTCCTGTAGAGGGACGTGCCCGACTTAACGCCACAAACGGCACCACCCCACCTACGGCCCCACGGGCCGCAGCGTATACCAGGACGTCCGGCGTGGGTTTTTGCATGGTATACGCTACGTCCCCCGATGGGCCGTAACGCAGCATGGAGGGCCATAGGTCGGGAGCGGCCAAGAGGGGGGTGTCTAAGAGGGGGGGGGTGCAAATCATCGCCGGCGGCATGTTCGCGGCCCAGCGGGGGGGGGCCAGGGACGTAAAGAGACAAGAAGAGGCGCCGTGAAATCTGGGGAAATATCATGGCCCACGCCATGGGATCCCCCCCCCCTACAACCCCGTGCGAAAAGCAACTGGGGTTTGGTGAGCCCCCCGGCCCCCGAATTTCAATGTTCATCGTGCGACCAGCGAAGTTCGAGAACAAAAAAATCGACCCCGCGTTGAACATTGAAATTGGGGGCTGGGGGGGGGGGGAGGTGTGTACGAAAACCCCAGCTGCTTTTCGCACGGGGTTGTAGTCCTCCCCCCCCTCTTTTCCGCCCCCGAATCGGTGGGCTGGTGTCGTTTGCTTCCTGGCCGACCCGGGTCGGGCCACGCGGCAGGCGACGAGTGCGCAGCGGGGCGGGCGCCGCCCCTCTGCAGACCTCGCGCAGGGGGGGGGGGGGGGGCACCGCCCCCCCCCCCCCATCGGCGCACACGGGAGCAGGACACGAGGCGGGGCTCGAGGCTCGAGGAGGAGCAGGACACGACGAGGAGGAGCACGAGGCTCGAGGCTCGAGGAGGAGCTCGAGCTCGAGGAGGAGGAGCTCGAGGCTCGAGGAGGAGCAGGACACGAGGAGGAGCAGGGCACGACGAGGAGGAGCAGGACACGACGAGGAGGAGCAGGACACGAGGAGGAGCTCGAGGCTCGAGGAGGAGCAGGGCACGAGGAGGAGCAGGACACGACGAGGAGGAGCAGGACAGGACGAGGAGGAGCAGGACACGAGGAGGAGCTCGGGGCTCCAGTGCAGAAGGACCTTGAGCGCCTTCTGCCCTCGCTGTGCCTCGGGGGAGCTAATCTCGGCGGTGGGCAAACCTCCCATTAATACACCAGCCTTTGGTGAAAACTGCCCGGGACCGAAACCGACGGACCTGGACCCGCAAAAACGACGGCCGCGACGCCCTCCCGCGAACCCAAAATGGCCAATTCGCTAACCGACGTGTCGGGGTGGGAGGTTTATCAACCTCCGATACAATCGGACTCGATGGGACAGGACACGCGAGAGGATACAAGACCCCTCCGAGGGCCACATTGCCACCGGAATGTTGGAAGCATGGGTCGCGAGACACAGGACACAAGGGTACCCTTGACTTGGCAGGGTCGACCTACTAGTCTGGGCCGACTGTACACCATGCGAAATGCTTAAGAAATCATGGGTTAAGAAATTCATAGTCTCAGAAATTAAATCAAAACCCATCATTTCTATTCAAATCTTAGGATTTACATCCAAAAGTTAAGAATAATCGAGACTCTGGCCGAAAACTTGGGTTTTCTTAAGCATCGCCTAAGGTGTAATCATCGCCACGGCTGGGCTCGCCCTGCAACCGTGGTCGAGACGCACCCCCTGGGACACGTCCGGGGGGGGTGCCGCCGTCGCCGCCGCGGGGGGCCGCCGCGGGCCCCGTGGGCGCAGCGCGGTGGCGCCCGCGTGGGCTGCCACATAGGAAAGCGGGGCCCTCGAGGCCTCCTAGAGTGAAGGGGAACTGGGACACACAAATAAATACACACAAATAAAAAGATTCCCCATATTTTCCTATATTTTTTGGTTTTTGTCTTCCCCCCCACTTCCCATATTTTCCCATATTTTCTGGGGAATCGAGGATTAATTGTGTCTGTGTTTTTTTTCCCTCCTGAACATAGGAAAGGGGGGCCCTCGAGGCCTCCTAGAGATGGGGTCGGAGTGGATGGGGTCGGAGGGTCGCGCCGCATCGCCGATACATCATTGGCGATACATCGGCGATGCACCGGCGATGCAACGTCGACATCAGCGGTGCATCGGCGACGTCGACGCGGAGCAGGTCGGGCTCCACATCGAGCCGCATCACCGATGCATCGGACATGCGGCGCGATCCTCCGACAACATCTAGGAGGCCCAGGGCCCTGGCTCGGACTTCTCCGGCTGCTTCGACACTCCTGCGGTCCTCCCTGAGGCCCCGGGGGCCGTCGCGAGCCATGGCGCCCACTGCGGTCCGGCGGCTCCCGCGGGGGGCCAGCCACGGCTTTCGGGCCCCGGGCCGCTTAGCTTCAGCTTCTGGCTTCCCGGGGAGGCCTCCCGGGGAGGCCTCCGCGGAAGCTTCGGCAGGCCTGCAACGACCTCTGGGAATATCGTTCTGGAGCTTCACGGACCTCCGATGACCTCGAGCTGCTGCGGGGATACGACCGAGCCTAAGAGAGGAGACCATCCCTCGAGAACACGAGGCCCTCCGCCGGCCTGAACGCACAGAACATGTACCCTCCCCGGGGTGCACGAGAACATCCAACAAACATGAAGAACATGAGGGTACCCGCTCCGAGCCGACCTCGATCTTAAACCCCGGCCCCGCCGTAGTGTCTTACCCGTTGGCGCCTCGTGAGCCCTCGTGCGCTGGCTTTCCAGTCTGGGTCTTCGTCCAGTCGCCGTCTGTGGGCCTCCAAGGCGCCCCACGTGCGATGACCCGGCTTCCCGGCCCGTGCTTTGGACGCCCGAAATGGGTACGGAAAAAATGGGTACAGTGCCCAACAACACATGTTGTCCCAAACCGACGGCGGCCGCTGTTGGGCAGGCGGCCTCCTGTCTCACATGGACACAGGCCGCGGCGGCGCGGACAGCGAGTCCTGTCCAAAATGAGCAGGAACTGCTGTTGGGCCAGAAGACTCCTCCTCCCCCTTCTCCTGCTCCTCCTCCTCCTCCCCCTTCTCCTGCTCCTCCTCCTCCTCCTCCTCCTCCTCCTCCCCCTCCTCCTCCTCCTCCTCCTCCTCCTCCCCCTCCTCCTCCTCCTCCTCCTCCTCCTCCTCCTCCTCCCCCCTCCTCCTGCAGACGTGCGGTGGCCGGACTTCGCGGGGCTCTCGCCCGGTGGCCGGCCCCGGGGTGCCCTCGCGTGCTGGCCGGCGCTGCCGGTCCTCTTCTGTGGCGTGGCGGCCGCGCGTGGGCGCTGCGCGGGCGCCCGGGTTCTCCCGTGGGCGCACCGCGCGGAGGCTCGGGGATGGACAGACCCCCTTTCGTAGAACGTGGTTTAGTGAAAACGACCTGAGGCCCAAACCTGGCGGGCGCGAGCCTGGAAAATAACGGCCACGGCGCCCTCTCGAGAACCGAAAACGGACAACTCACTAATCGACGTGTCACTGTTGGGGGTTCTGTCCAGCCCCGAGAGGCCTGCCCTGAGATGGGGTCGGGCACGTCCTCCCGCAGGCAGCTCTCGGGCGAAGCGTAGAAGAGCAGTCAGCACAGGTACACCCAGAATGCTCAACGATGACAGGAGTATGGCCCCCAGGCTATGTTTTGATCATCTGTTAAAGCCCCCTTAAACAAAAACATGCCCGATTTAATCCTAAGAAGAAATAGCAACTACCCCCCCACCGACACAAGGAGGTTAACCGCTTCCCTCCGCGTGTACCTTTCGTATGCGCATTGCGCACGATGGTTTCGTCTGCCAGCCAATCCGGGTATCGCGACTCCCCTGTACCATCACCGACATATACTAGCCAGTGCACATCCGTTGATCTAGGGGGTGTTCTCTTCAATGACCCATTGCAAGAGGAATGCGGGGCGCATGCGCACGCCGCCGCGCGCGCATGCCAACATCGCACAGCACAAACTTATGACGCGACGCATCTGTTCAAAAACCGAAACATAGTGTAAGGATTCTGCGCGCGATCACTCGGTGAAGCCAAAGGCTAACCAGAGAATCCTCTTGCATTAATTGACATTCCCCAAACGGTGCTTGCACTGAAGGGTTCTTAAAACTGGTCTAAGGACCTGGGCCTGTCTGTCGGTCTAGTGGCTATGTTGTCGCCGTCGCCGCCCCGTCGCCGCCCGTAACTGAGCCTGTCTGTCGGTCGGGCGGCTATGGTGTCGCCGTCGCCGCCCCGTCGCCGCCGCGTCGCCGCCCACCGCCACCACTAGATTGCCGCACATGGACTGCACCACGTCAGATTGCACAACATAGATCGCACCACATACATTTGTTCACGCAGAGTGCACAACATACATTGCGCACCACAAGCAGTCAACACGTCTAATAAGGATGCACGAGAAGGATACAAAGGGCCTTGGAAGGCCATTTCGAAGCTTTTCGAGCGGGGCGCGGCCAAGGAAAACGGCCGAGGATGGACCGATGAGGCAAGGATGCATGGGCACCCTTGGGAAAGCTGCCCATCCTTATTATGCGAGTTGACTGTGCGTTGCACCACATAGTTTGCACCACATGGGTTGCACCATACATGTGTGTATATCCACATGCACGTAAGTATGTATGAATGAATGTATGTGGTATATACATTAAAACAATATTGCATCACATACACTGCACAACGCAGAATGCCCCGCATTGATTGCACAGCATACATTGCGCATCGCATAGGTTGTACCACATAGTTTGCACCACATCGCAAACGCACCACGTACATGGCGTGACATGCATTGCACACGATTGATGGCACAACACATATCGCACAACATGGACTGCAGCACGTATTACAGCATACGGATGTCTCCACAACTATTGCACAACATAGGTTGTATCACATTTACGCCACATAAATGGCCTCAAATAGAATGCTCCGCGTAGACTGCACAGCCTATTGTACACACTGTAGATTGCACATCGTATATTGTACAACACTTAGTGCGACACGTCGAATGCACTGCATACCTTGCACGAACCATATTGCGCCACATACATTGATATCGCAACCCAACCACTGCACACTATATATTGCTAGACCGCACGCTGTTTGGGGCACACGCTGGCTAATGTAAGCCGGTGCGGGCCACACGCACGCGCATGCCAAACACATTCAACAACCATCGCGTGCCCGCCAACTTTGTCGAATCCGACGGCCCCCTTCTGGGGCATCAGGCAGCGTGGTGGAGGCTTTGCTGCCACCTGCTCCAATTCCAATTTCCAAGATTACGGTTCTACTATAATGTGAGTTCTTACTGTCGGCGCGAGGGGGGGACCGAAAAGGCCCCGGTTACAGTTCCCGAATCGCGTGCTCTCTGGGACACGTGAGAGAACTCGACTCGCGCCCCCGAGGCAATCAGAATTTGTAAATTACGCCAGATTCGCTCGCATGGGGCCAGAATCTATCGTGCATTGCGCGTGGTTCGCGTTCTCCAGGCCAGCACCCCTAGTCCACTGCACGAGATTCGCGCTCCCGAGGCCAGATCCCCTTGCGATGGATACGAAACTTGCGCTCCAGAGGTCCGAATCCTGTGAAACTGCGCAGATTCGCGCTCCCGAGGTCAGAGCCCTTTTCATATTACGCCGACTTGGCGCCCCCGAGGCACATGACGGGCTCTGTCGGCCCGTGGCCTTGCTGTTTCGCGTCGTGACTTCTGCCAAGCGGCGGACAGCAGCGGGGCCGGCCCCGATGGCCGGCACGACGTGTGCAACGTCGGGACCTTCTTCCGGGCCATGCGAATCGCCGCGCGGCTCATTGTTCGGCACGCAGGCGCTGGAGGAAACCGCTGCGTTTGCGTCTCCACCGATCCAACGCCTGCCAAGGAATGCGGAATCACTACCGCCACGTATTCACGGGCATGCCGTGAAAGAGCCGCGAACGCTTCAGATGGGACCAAGGCGCACATCTGCACGTAAGACCTGCAACTCGGAAGGGTGCTGTGGACAATGTGACATACGAGTGCGATGCGCATGCGTCGGACCAGGCAGGAGAGCCCAGAATCGAATCGACAAGTCGAATCGGCGATCGAAATGAATCGGATCGGCGAACATCGGCAGCCGAGTCGGGAAACATCGAATCGGTATACATCGGCAGGCCAGCAGGCCTGCGTTGAGAAATCGGATCCCAAATCGGAATCCGATGTCGAATCGAATCGGAATCGGAATCCCTCAAAATCGAATCGAATCGAATCGGAGGAATCGCAACGAGCCCTGACCACGAAGCGAACACGAAAGATGACGGCTGCGGGCGCGGCCGCACCGGCAGCCCACCAACCCGACGCTCACAGCGGCAGTCGGGGCGCCCTGCTCGCAAACGATGCGCCGATAGCGCAATACGTGAAAGGCTTGAGGAAGGGAAGGAGGACCTCCTCCTCCTCCTGACTCCGCCTCCGCCTCCTGCCTCCGCCTCCTCCTCCTGCCTCCTGCCTCCTGCCTCCGCCTCCGCCTCCGCCTCCTCCTCCTCCTGCCTCCTCCTCCTCCTGCCTTCCCCTCCTCCTCCTGCCTCCTCCTCCTCCTCCTGCCTCCTCCTCCTCCTCCTGCCTCCTCCGCCTCCTCCTCCCGGAAGGGGGGAGGGCGGAGGGCGGAGGGGCTGCGCGTGCCGAGGCGGAGAGAGCGCGCCTCGGGCGCCGCGGCCCCGCCGCCGAGAAGGCGGCGTGCAGCCAGCAGCTCCTGCGGGCGCCGCCCGCTCGGCGGGGCGGAGTGGGGCCTGCCTCTGCTGCTGGCCGCGCGAGGTCGACGACGGGGTCGACGACGGGGTCGACAGCGACAGCGACGACCATGGCGACGACGACGACGACGTCGACGTCGGCAGCGACGACGACGGCAGCGACGACGACGACGACGACGACGGCGACGGCGGCGGCGGCGATCGACGACGACGACGACGATTGCGACGACGTCGGCGGCGGCGACGACGATTGCGACGACGATGACGACCTCGGCCTCGACGATGCGGCGAGGCCGCCACCCGAATCGCACCGACTCCTCCTCCTTCGATGTACAGTTGGCCCGTATCAGAAAGGTGCCTTGACCTAAGGAGCCCAAAATAAGGAACGAGGCCCCTTTTTTCCATAAGTTGAACTTCGATTTCCGATCGAAAACATAAGACAAATCTGAGGCAAGCTGCGAAACACTTAAGGAACGCGGAGCCCCTCCCCAACGAAAAGGGTTCCTTCTTCAGGGCCCCGACTGTATCAGAAATGTGCGTGATGAGGATGCAAGGGCCTCGGACCCGCATTTCGAAGCTTTCCGAGAGGGGCGCGGCCAGCGAAAGTGGCCAAAGACGGACCGAGGCAAGGGCGCAAGGGTACCCTTGGGAAGGTTGCCCATCCCTGCCGTGCGGTTTGACTGTGCCACCCCATCTCCCGATTGCACAGCAAACGATCGCTCAAATCTTTGAACTGCCATTTTGGGTTCAAGGTCCTCTGGGGCAGCCAGGCCGACGGGCAGAAACATATCATCGCTGTGGGAAGCGATGTGTGGGAGGGGTGAGGTGTCAGACGTGGCGCGAGCGCGCCTAGCTTGCCCTCTCCTCCCTCCCTCGAGGACCCGCGTCCCCCCTCTCATTGTCCGTCGCCTCCGCTCCCTCCTCACCCTCCGACTGCATCCCCCCCCGCCTCGCCCAACGCCCCCTTCTCCTACGCATGCCCCCCCTCCCGCACTCCCCATCCACCCCCGGATCGGGCCTCGCTCCCCCCTCTGGAAGCTCACGAGATCTCTGGAGGACCCGCAACGAGCCCCAGACGCCAGATGCTCGACCCTCGACGCTTTTCCCCACCCCTGGGGGGGGACCGACGAATACCGACATCGCTACTCCACGGACCTCTCCCGGGGTGCCTTCTGACTAGAGTTTCGCGGCGAATCCAGCGATGGCCATTAAGGCCTCCCAGGGGCCCCAAAACAGCGGAAACGCGCCGAGGGTAGCGGTATCGGCACCTTTCCTCCTACTCTGAGCTCCCTCCCTCCACATCCTCCTTCCTCACCTCGGCCTCCTGACTCCTCATCCTGCTCCCGTCCCCGCTCCTCTATCCTTCTTTCTTTCGTTCTCCTTTCTCCCTCGCCTCCCTCCCCAAGGAGCTCCCAGGACCCCGCAGACATCCCAAAATGGACCAACCAAGTCTGAGGCTTCGCTTTTCGACCGTCGATGCCTCCTCCCTCCTCCCTCCCCCCTGCCCGACCACGACGACGACAATCTCGACGACGACGATGGCGGCGGCGACGACGACGACGACGACGACCTCGACGACGATGACCTCGTCGACGACGACCTCGACTTCGACCTCGACGGCCAACATCGATCTCGTCGACGACGACCTCGACCTCGATTCTACGACGGCGATCTCCACCTCGCCGTCGCCGTCGAAGACGACGACGACGACCTTGACGACGAGACGACGCCGAGCAGGAGGGGCGCGCTCCGCGACGGCATCGAACGGCCATCTCGCTTCTGAAGGGCACCGTGATGCCGCAGGAGGAGGAGCAGCAACAGCACCTGGAGTGCGAATGCGGGCGCGACAAACGCGACGCGAAGGCTCCCACCTGCTTCCAGGAACCATCGGTGCGACTGAGCGGCTGAGGCCACTGATGAGCAGGGACCGACCGTCCCGGCATTCCTGTAGGCCTACCACGACCTGTTCTTAGAACCCAAACATGTCCCACTCGCAAAAGCAGTGTTCTTGGAACATACGCCCAATGTGTTGAAACAAGACAGCACCAGCCAGAAACATGTTCAAAGCACAGCTCGTAGAACCCACAAAGGGTTACGAGAACGGTGTTTGGTGGGCCTATGGGCACGCCGCGGCGCTTCTCCACTGCTTGACACTGGTGGCGTCGCGCGGATTCCAGCACGGCAGGGCCGCGACAACCCATCAGGAGCCTCACAGGAGCCGCAACGGCGCCTGGCGCGCACACGGGGGCCGGCCCGTGCCGCGCGGGAAGGCCAGCCTGTGGCCGCAGGCATTCCTCACGTCCTGGCGCTGGTGGGCTCCGTCCCCGAGGCCACCTTTTTCTGGGGGGCCACATGCGAACCCTACCCCTACCCCCCACGATTTCTGAGGGGGAGGGTGGGGTTCACTTCGATTGGGAGCTCCCGAGCGAAGTGAGCCCCACCCTCCCCCTCAGAAATCGTGGGGGGTAGGGGTAGGGTTCGCATGTGGCCCCTTATTTTCCCTCGGCAGCGAGGCGGGGCAGTCCGCACCAGCGTGGCAGCGATGCAGGGGCACCACAATGCGAACTGGCCGGCATGCCAGGAGGGAAAACGAGGGGCAGGGCGGCCGCAGGGGGGGAGAGGAGGGCGAGCACTCAGAGGCGGAAGGCCTCCGCCATGAGCAGCCGGAGCGGCCGCCCCCCAGGGCCACACGACGCGGACACGGAGCACGAAAGCGCGAAGCAGGAACCGCTCCCTCTCCATAGCCATCGTCGAATAGTGTTAAGGGCCCCAGAAGCGGAGCGGACTGCAGAGCCCTCGGAAGCCACAAGCGGACCTGGAGCAGAATCGGTCGGCGCAGGTTGCAGAAGCCTTCGGACTCAGCCTGGTGCTGATGGGGTGCGTCCCCCAGGCTCCACGCCATAAGCAAGTGTCCAAGCACGGCACCCCCATAACGGATACAAGGAAGAATGGCGAGCCCTGTCGCGTCCCCTGGGGCGTCTCCTGGCACGTTCCCTGACGAGTCCCCCGGCACCGTTCAAAAGCACAGCGTCTGAGGCAAACCCCATCGCTCACACAAGGAAAACTCAACGTTCCCGATACATCTCCATCCGAGACAGAGCCCCCTGGCATTTCGCCAATTGGGGGACCACTTGGAATTGTGTAGAAACATTGCGTTTCCGCTACGGCACCACCGAACGCTCAATCCAAGCAAATGGTAGATGAGCCTGGTGGGCAGAATGGGTCGCGGGAGTGGAGTCTTGGCAACACAGGACGGGGGGAGGGACACAGGAGGCCCCGAAAAGTATAAACCTGCCACACCCTCATACCAAATGTTGCCGCGGTCTGGATCACACGGGCACGCGGACGGGACGCCCTGAAAGGCCACCAACCTCCCAGGGCTATGTCACAAAACAAGCAGGCGGCGAGCTGGGGCATCTTCCGCTTGGTCTCTCCCCGCCAACTTCGAGGACATGTCACATTCGGGCACCCTGCGCAAACCGCGGCACTCCGTCTGGGGAGCCCTCGGAGTTTTTCAGGTGGCGCAATTTGGGGCGTGCTGACATGCCAAGCGCTACCTGGTAGGGTTTCTGTAATCTTCTTCTATGGCCTCCGTCCCCCTCTCTCGCTACGCTACGCCGTATGCACCGCTCCCTCTCTCGAGGCCACAATCCATTGCAACATGCAACGCACTCGCACACTCGAGGCTGTAATCCGTCGGAAACTGCGGCGAATTCGCGCCCCCGAGGCTACAACAAGTCCCTTGTCAAATGAGGCAGATGCGCGCTCCCGAGGCCAAGATGCCTCCAAGATGGCCCAGGATGGCTCCAAGACGGCCTACTTTGGCCTCAATGCGGCCCAACATGGCTTCAAGACGGCCCAAGAGGCCAGCGCTTCGCCTCTCCCTCTCTGAGGCCATATTCCTTAGGAAAATACGGCAGACTCGCACTCCAGAGGCCCGAGAAGCCCAAAAGCCATCCAAGAGGGCCCCAAGATGGCCCAAGAGAGCTCCATGACGGCGTAAGAGTGCCCCAAGACGGCCCAAGAGGGCCCCAAGGGACCCTCAAGAGTGCCTCACAGGAGGTCAAGGTAGCCCCAAGACGGCCCAAACGAGTTCCATGAGAGCTCCTCAAATAGTGAAAACGGAAGGTGCCACATGGTGACGGCCTTCCTTTTCTTCCTCCTCCTCCTCCTCGTCAGCAGCAGCGCCATCAGCATCATCATCATCATCATCATCATCATCATCATCATCATCATCATCATCATCATCATCATCATCATCATAATCATCATCAGCAGCAGCATCAGCACTAACATCATCATCAGCAGCATCATCATCAGACTCCTCCTCCTCATCATCATCAACATATTCTTCATCATCATCAGCAACATCACCATCATCGGCAACATCGGCAGTATCATCATCAACAACATCATCATCATCATCACCACCGCCACCATCGTCATCCTCAATATCATCCTCATTATTGTGACCCCAACCTCACCACCAGCAGCACCGTCAATACCACCATCATCGTCATCGATACTATCACAGTCGTCATCGTCATCATTGCTATTGGCATCCCCGCCATCATCGACATCATCATCATCATCATCATCATCATCATCATCATCATCACCACCATCACCATCATCATCATCATCATCATCATCATCATCATCATCATCATCATCATCATCATCATCAGCATCATCATCAGCATCACCACCAAAAGCAACAACATTATCATCACCACCACCACCGTGATTGACGTCGTCGTCGTCATCACCATCGCCATCACCATCATCTCCACCATCACCATCATCATAACCGTCACCGTTGCCGCAGGCCCAACCCACGCGGAGCTCTGCTGGCTCGTGAGCTCCAGCGGTTCCGGCCTCTGCCGCAGCAGCTCACGGGAGGGAGGCGCCACGCCGCCCTCGCCGCCTGCAGCTGCGCCCCGCGCGGCTGGCGGACACGTCACGAGCTCAGCTGCCCCGGTGCGCAGCACGCAGCACGCACAGAGCGTGCTGATACGGAGCTCAGCGCGTGGACTGAAGGCGTGGTTCCGATTCGGCACGTTCGCCAGAGCGTGGTCCAATACGTGGAGCCACCACGCAACGCATCGGCACGGACGTCCTGAACACGGGGCGTGTTGCGTTTCAGAACGGGCGTATCGAGGCAACTAAGGTCACAGGTGAACAGCAGGAAATTATCCAACAGTCGTTGTGAGTATCGCCTTCGGTGGATCTCCTCGTGGGGCTCCGAGGCGTGCGAAGGGTGTGCTGAGATGGGGCGGGGCCGCCATGCGTGTGAGGGGTGTGCCGCAAAGGGGGCGGCGGTGCCATGCGAACTCTCCCCATGGGGCCTCGAATTGAACTCCCTATGGTGCCACGAGCCGTTTGAGAGGTGTGCCGGAATGGGGCGGCGGTGCCATGCGAGCCTTCCCTGTGGGGCCTCGAATTGAGCTCCCTATGGGGCCACGAGCCGTGTGAGGGGCGTGCTGGAATGGGGCGGCGGTTCCATGCGAACCCTCCCACTAGGCCGTTCGGTGGAACTTCCTGTGGGGCCACGAACCGTGTGAGGGGTGTGCCGAAATGAGGCGACAGTGCCATGCGAACCCTCCGAATGGGGCCTCAAGTGGAGCTCCCTGTGGGGCTGCGAACCGCGTGAGGGGTGTGCAGGAATGAGGCGACGGTGAAATGATAACTCTCCCAATGGGGCCTCAAATTAAACTCCCTGTGGGGCCACGAACTGTGTGAGGGGATGGAATGGGGCGGCAGTGCCATGCGGACCCTCCCATTGGGGCTTTTGGCGGAGCTCCCTGTGGAGCCACGAAGCATGTGAGGGGTGTGCTGGCATGGGGCACGAGTGCCATGCGAACCCTCCCACTGGGGCCTTAGGTGGAGCTCCTTATGAAGGAATCGGGCGGCGGTGCCATGCGAACCCTCTCCATGGGGCCTCGTGTGGAGCTCCCTATGGGGCAACGAACCGTGTGAGGGATGTGCCGGAATGGGGCGGCGGTGCCATGTGAACCCTTCCAATGGGGCCTGGAATGGAGCTCCCCATTGGCCCACGAAGCGTGTGAGGGGTGCGCCGACATGAAGCCGCGGTGCCATGCGAACCCTCCCACTGGGGCCTTAGGCTGAACGCCCTATGGGGCCACGAACCGTGTGAAGGGTGTGCCGATATGGGGCGGCGGTGTCATGCGAACCCTCAACGTGGGGCCTTACCACGAAACATACGAGGGGCTTGCCGAAAGGAGGCGGCGGTGCCATGCGAAGCTTCCCACTGGGGCCTCAATTGGACCTCCCTATGGGGCCACAAACAGTGTGCGGGGGGTGCTGAAATGAGGCCACAATGCCATGCGAAACCTCCCACTGAGACCTTAGGTGGAACGCCCCATGGGGCCACGAACCGTGTGAAGGGTGTGCCGAAGTAGGGCGGCGGTGCCATCCGAACCCTCCCATTTTGGCCTTAGGTGGACGCTCCTATGGGGCCACGAAGCGTGTGAGGGGTGTACCCAAATGGGGCGGCGGTGCCATGCGAGCCCTCACACTGGGGCCTTAGGTGGAACGCCCGATGGGGCCACAAATCGTGTGCGGGGTGTGCCGACATGATGCGGTGGTGCCATGCGAACCCTCCCACTGGGCTGTTTGGTGCAACTCCCTATGTGGCCATGAAGCGTGTGAAGGGGTGTGCCGGACTTGGGTGGCGGTGCCATGCGAACTCTCCCACTGGGGCTTTTGGTGGAGCTCCCTTTGGGGCCACGAACCGTGTCAGAGGTGTGCCTACATGGGGCGGCGGTGCCATGCGAACCCTCCCAATGAGGTCTCGAATTTAGCTCCCTATGGGGCCACGAACGGTGTGAGGGGTGTTTCGAAATTAGGCGGCGGTGCCATGCGAAACCTCCAACTGGGGTCTTAGGTGAACTCCCTATGGGACCACGAACCGTGTGAGCGGTGTGCCGGAATGGGGCGGCGGTGCCATGCGAACCCTCCCACTGGGGCCTTCGGTGGAGCTCCCGATGGGGCCACGAAGCGTGTGAGGGGTTCGTCGAAATGGGGCGGCGGTGCCATGCGAAGCTTCCCGCTGGGGTCTTGGGTGCAGCTCCCTGTGGGGCCACGAAGCGTGTGAGGGGTGCACAAATGAGGCGGCGATGCCATGCGAACCCTTCCAGAGGAGCCTCACATGGAGTTCCCCATGGAGCCGCGAAGCGTGAGGGTGCGCTGACATGAAGCCGGGGTGCCATGCGAACCCCCTGTACTGGGGCTTTTGTGCCGAAATGGGGCGGCGGTGCCATGCGAAGCCTCCCGCTCGGGCCTTGGGTGGAGCTCCCTATGCGGCCACGGACCGTGGAAGTGGTGTGCCGAAATTAAGTGGCGGTGCCATGCCAACCCTCCCACTGGGGCCTCTGACGGCCGCGACGCCCTCTCGCAAACCGTCAACCGAAAACGGCCAGCTCCTGAATCGACGCGTCAGGGTAGGAGGTCTGTCAACCTCCGACCCCCTCTGGGGTCAAATAGAGGCCTCCTAGACGGGGTCCGAGTAGATGGGGTCGAAGGATCGCATCGCATCGCCAATGCATCGGCGATGTATCGGCGATGCATCGGCGATGCATCGGCGACGTCGGCGTGGGGGAACACGGCCTCCACATCGAGCCGCATCGCCGATGCATCGGCGATGCGGCGGGATCCTCCGACCCCATCCACTCGGACCCCATCTGGGAGGCCTAGATCAACGAACGTGGAAGCCGCGACGCCCTCTCGCACGCCGAAAACGGCCAGTTCCTGAATCGACGTGTCAGGGTAGCCAACGTTGAACCAACGTGTCAGGAGGAGGAGGAGGAGGAGGAGGAGGAGGAGGAGGAGGAGGAGGAGGAGGGGAGGAGGAGAGGGGGGAGGGGGGGAGGAGGAGGAGGAGGAGGAGGAGAGGAGGAGGAGGAGGAGGAGGAGGGAGGAAGGGAGGAGGAGGAGGAGGAGGAGGCGGAGGAGGAGGAGGAGGAGCAGAGGAGGAGGAGGAGGAGGAGGAGGAGGAGGAGGAGGAGTAGGAGGAGGAGGAGGAGGAGGAGGGGGAGGAGGAGGAGGGGAGGGAGAGGGGAGGAGGAGGAGGGGAGGAGGAGGAGGAGGAGGAGAGAGGAGGAGGAGGAGGGAGGAGGAGGGAGGGGGGAGGGGGAGGAGGAGGAGGAGGAGAGGAGAGGAGGGAGGAGGAGGAGGAGGAGGAGGAGGAGGAGGAGGAGGAGGAGAGGAGGAGGAGGAGGAGGAGGAGGAGGAGGAGGAGGAGGAGGAGGGGAGGAGGAGGGAGGAGGAGGAGGAGGAGGAGGAGGAGGAGGAGGAGGAGGAGGAGGAGGAGAGGAGGAGGAGGAGGAGGAGGAGGGGGAGAAGGGGGAGGAGGAGGAGGAGGAGGAAGGAGGAGGAGGAGGAGGAGGAGGAGGAGGAGGAGGAGGAGGAGGAGGAGGAGGAGGAGGAGGAGGAGGAGGAGGAGGAGGAGGGGGAGGGGGAGGAGGAGGAGAGGAGGAGGGGGAGGAGGAGGAGGAGGGGGAGGAGGAGGAGGAGGAGGAGGAGGAGGAGGAGGAGGAGGAGGAGGAGGAGGTCTGTCCACCTCCGACCCCCTTTTTGGGGTCGACCAACGTTGAGGCCTGGGGGCGCCCACGTCCGGCTCGCGGCGCGCGCCCTCCTCGAGGGGCACGCGCGCACGACGCGGCTCCGGGGAGCGGAGCCGGAGAGCCTGCCCCGGAGGCGCGTGGTCTGGAGCTCTCGACGCCCCCCCCCCTGAACGAAGGATTGCAAAAAAACGAAGGTTTTTTTTTTGTGCAATCCTTCGTTTTTTTTGCAATCCTTCGTTTTTTTGCAATCCTTCGTTGCAATCCTTCCCCCAGAGAGAGACACTGTGCACGTCGCTCGCTCCTCATGGTCTCGGTTCCTGACTGTGCTCGCGTCGAACCGTTCCTGGCCCCCTGTAGTGGCCAGGAAGAGGCCCGGGCCAGAACAGTCGGAGGGATGAGAGGACCTTGGCCCCCAAGGTGTCAAAGAACTTCCGAAGGATCGGAGACGAACCATGTGTAAGTCCAGCGCCGAAGACCTGGGCGGGGGAAGCGAAGCGGAGCGAAGCGACGCGAAGCGGAGCGAAGCGAACGCCGGAGTCGTGGGGGCTCCTCTCCGGCGAGCTCGCCCGTGCCCGGAAGGGCATGGCGTGGAGGCCGTAGCATCGAGGAGATTGGAAACGGAGGGGCGCTGTTAACGAGAACTGTCAAAGGTCGCGGAAGAAATCGCAACTGGAATTGCCGATCCAGTATCTGCGCAGGGGGGGGGTCCTCGGGCTGGGTTGATCCGCAACGGCCTCAAAACGAAAAGCTGTGGCGAGAAACTTCCGACGTTCGGGGATCTTCTGACCCAGGTCATTCCAGACCCAGGTCAGTCAGGCCTGCAGAATCCTGCAAGCTCCTGCAAGATCCTGCGCCCAAGCCCAGGTCAACGCGAATGATCCTGCAAGACCCTGCAGGATCATGCGCCCAAGCCCAGGTCAATGTGACCCTGGCCCTGCAAGATCCTGCAAGATCGGGCGCTCTGGCTGACCCCCGTTTGCACTGACCCCCGTCTCAAGGCTCCCGAGTCGTGATGTTTTCACGACGCCAGAGTCTGAGGCCCGTGCCCATACCACCACCGCCCGAAGTGTGCCCTGGGGGGCCAGCCGCAGATGATCGACCGCGCGAACACGCCCTCCTCTTGCTTTTCCCCCTGCTCCTCCTGCTCCCGATCCCAAGCAAACCTCCTCCTCCTCCTCCTCCGCCCTCCTCCGCCCTCCGCCCCCTCCGCCCTCCTCCTCCCCCTCCTCCCCCTCCCCCTCCTCCTCCTCCTCCTCCTCCTCCTCCTCCTCCTCCTCCTCCTCCTCCTCCTCGGCGTTGGGGTTATGGCCCCGGGCCCCCATAGACACAAACAAAAACGCCACCTGCCGGACACGGCCTCTGGGAGGACTGGCCCTGTGGCTTTGCCGCCCCTGAGTGTAAGTTCCACTCGCTCGCTGAACTATGCAAGGAGAGGCGCTCCTCCCCCCATTCGGGGGGGCGCGCAAGCATGGATTGGCGATCCATGGACTTGGCGCGCGGTCGCCAACTCCATGCATCGGGGGAGGTGCCCTCCCCAGACTGCGGCCCGGGCCGCCTCGCCCGGCGGAGGAGACCCGCGACTTCCCATGGAAGCGGGACCCGTCGGTCCTCCACGCCCCCTTCATCCATGTTTGCGGTCGCCTGACCTCCCTCCCTCCCTCCCTCCCTCCCCCCCTCCCCCCTCCCTCCCTCCCTCCCCCTCCCTCCCTCCCATCCCTCCCCCTCCTCCTCCTCCTCCTCCCCTCCTCCTCCTCCTCCTCCCTCCTCCTACTCTCCTCCTCCTCCTCCTCCTCCTCCTCCTCTCTCCTCCTGCTCCTCCTGCTCCCTCCCTCTCCTCCCCTCCTCCCCCGCCTCCTCCTCCTCCCTCCTCCTCCTCATCTCCTCTCCTCCTCCTCTCTCCTCCTCCTCCTCCTCCTCATCCTCCTCCTCCTCCTCCCTTCTCTCCTCCTCCTCCTCCCTCCTCCTCTCCTCCTCCTCCTACTCCTCCTCCTCCTCCTCCTCCTCCGCCCCCTCCTCCTCCGCCCCCTCCTCCGATGCCTGAACCATTCCTCCCCGCCGCTCCGCCTCCGCCCTGCCTCCCCCCCGCTCCTCCCCGAAGCACCAAGGGGCTCGGCGCGGCGTGGCGCACCGCCTGCCTTGGGGGGGGGGGGCGGGTGGCGGGTCCGCTGCCGTCGCAGGCGCGCCACTGGCAGCCAAGGGCAGCGCACAGTGCAGACCAGCCCACAAGAAGCCTTCCCTCGCCATCGCTCGGCTCGGACGTCCATTCCCTGTGTTTTTTTTCGGTTTCGTGCGTGGTTTTTACGCTAAATGATAAAGGATGGTCCTCGATGATTCTCGCCGGAAGAAAAAGGCACACGTCCGAGCGATGCCAAATACCACGAGACACCCAACCCTGAGACCCCAGGACGCCCACGGATGTTTGGTGTGGGGACGTCACGCTTTCCACAGCAGGGCCATCGAAGCCCAAGAGACCCGTGCACCCTGGAGGCAAGCAGGGCGTTTCCTGGCATGGGCCTCCACTGTAGGCTGTAGGTGACCAAAGCAACCACATCAGCGGCGGCAGCACGATCGATCGGGGGGGGGAGGCGGAGGAGGAGGAGGAGGAGGAAGAGGAGGAGGAGAAGGAGGAGGAGGAGGAGGAGGAGGAGGAGGAGGGAGGAGGAGGGAGGAGGAGGGAGGAGGAGGGAGGAGGCGGCAACAGCAAGCACGATCGCGGCCCGCGTCGGCTGCAGCGAAGACGGGGGGGGGCGACGACGGAGGAGGGCGATCGTGACGATGTTGAGCAGGGGGCCTCGTTGGCAGCACTGGCAGTGCCAGCAGTGCCGATAGCGCCGGGGATCGCCATGGCAGTATCACTCGAAACCATGTCAACTGGCTACCCGGCGCGGGGATGCCCACGTGCATGTCTTTTCTCAGCGTTTCGCAGGACGAGAGCCAGGATGAATGTGAGGGACTCTGAATCTGAGTGGCTCCTCCCGAAACTGTGCCGCAGAGGCATGGTGGATTCCCTTCAGGTCCCTTCAAGGTCTCTTTCTTCAGTAGTGTGATAGTCATGCACTCGAACCAAATTTCAATTGCCCCAATTTGCCTACGGTGCCGCATCACTTTCCGGGACACCCGAACTCATCGAACCCTGTGTTTTTGCGTGCTTGCAGCTTTCGACCCAAGGGTGGCAGACGCGAAGAGCTACAGATGATCTCCCGTTCCAAAATGATTCCCGAGATCGCAAAAGGGCCACCACGACCCCCCTAGAGCTGCCCAAGAGGCCCCCAGAGGCGCCCAACATGCGTCCAAGAGGCCCCCAAGACGCCTCCAAAAGGGCCCCGAAAAGGCTCTCAAGAGAACCCAACTAACCTCCAAAGAACAAAGTCTGGATGGGCTGAAGGCCACTAGATCCGCCGCCCTCTGTTGCTTGCAGGAGGGATGCTTGGCGTACCGAGTGATGACCGCTTGAACCCTTCCAATAAAAATCGTCATGGCCTCCAACTCAGCCCACTGGCCCACCGGAAAATCTATGCCTCCCGTGGGCTTCTCCCGAGATGCCTCCAGGAAGGTTCAGACGGCCTCCAAGACGGTCCAACATTGCCTCCAAGAAAGCCAATATTGCTCCAAGATGACCCAAGACGGACCTACATTTCTCCAAGACGGCCTCCCAGACGGTTCAATGTTCCTCCCAAGACGGCTTCAAATAACTCCAAAAGGCCTTACAGGAGAGCCCTAAGAAATGAAGATCATTGATCCCTCTATGCTTTGCCAATGGTTGCCGTCTCCTCGCTTTTTCTGCCTTCCGACAGCCGAAGGCGGCCCGAGGCCTCCAAGCTTTCCCCAACACGGCCCGCGAACCCCCCAGGAGGGCTCCGGGAGGGCTAACATGGCCCCAAGATGGCCCAATAGGGGGCCCCAGGACGGCCCCGAGAGGGCTTCCCGAGCTGCTCTAAAGCTCCCCAGGAGGACACCGAGAGCGTCAGACGGACGAAGAAGATCATGTGACGGCCCAAGGATCCCCCCACGGGCCCGCCAACTGGCCCCTCAAAGTCTCCCAAGAGGCCACCAGGAAGTCCCCAGGAGGCACCAAGAAAGCCCTAAGAGGCCCTCAAGAAGCCCCCTCCCTGTCCTGATGGTCCTTCCTCTGCTCCACCTCCTGCTCCTCATCCCACCCTCCTTCTCCTCCTCTTCTGTTGTGCTCCTCTTTCCCTCTCTTCTCTCTGTCTCTCTCTCTCTCTCTCTCTCTTTCTCGCGCTCTTTCTCTCCCTGTCTCGCTCTTGCTCTCGCTGTCGTTCTCGCTCTCTCTCTCTCTCTCTTTCTTCATTTCTCTGTTTCTGTCTGTCTGTCTGTCTGTCTGTCTGTCTGTCTGTCTGTCTGTCTGTCTGTCTGTCTGTCTGTCTCTCTCTCTCTCTCTCCCTCTATGTATCTATATGTGCGTATATCTATATATATATATATATATATATATATACATATGTGCATCCCTTTCTCTAGCTCTGCTCTTTGTGTATTGTCTGTCTTTCTCTCTCTCTCTCTCTCTCTCTTTCTCCCGAAATGTTCCCCCCAAGACTTCCGCAATGGTTTGGGGAGCCCATGGTCCGATAGTTTGGCCAGGCGTTGGTCGCTTCCAAAAGGCAAAGGGGCGGCCGTTTCACCGTATGTGTGGGTCGGTAAGAGTACGACCGAATAGTTATGAGCACGCGTGGGTCTGAGCACGAGTGGTTCTGAACACATGAAGGGGCCCCAGGACACACACACACATAAATACACACAAATAACATAATCCCCTATATTTTCCCATATTTTCTGGGTTTATGTCTTCCCGCCCACTTCCCATATTTTCCCATATTTTCTGGGAAATCGAAGATTAATTGTGTCTGTGTGTTTTTCCCCCCTCCTGAACATATACTATTCAAACTGTCACTCGCTCCACGAGAGCGGCTGAGGCTGACGACGAGTGTGCCTCTGTTCATAGCGAGGTCTGACCGTGCGCACTCAAAGGGACGGAGTGTGCTCGAACCTGAGAGTGGGCGAGTTTGGGTTCGAGTGGCTACGATTGGGTGAGCTTGGTCATGAGTGATCCTGGGTATGCGTGACTGGGCGTGCGTTGGCCAGGGTGCGATAGGAGTGAATGGGCGTGACTGACTGGGGGTGGGCGAATTTGAATGCGAGAGCGTCTGAGTTCGGATAAGTCTGAGCGGGTCCGGGCCAAAATGTGACTGGCGGAATTCGACTACATCTGAGCGTGGGAGTCCGAATGCAAGAAACTCCATATTAATTCGCATGCATATGACTGGATCCGGACATGATTCGGCCAGAGCAAAGTTGACTGACTACGAACGGGTCTGAATTTGATGGGTCTGGATACAAATGCTATTCTTCGGTGCGTCGTTCAGCTTCAACGCCAGATCCACAATGATGATGATGGTGATGATAATGACGATGATGGTGCTACGGCTGCTGATGATGATGCTGAGGATGAGCATGCTGATGCTGCTAATGATGAGGGTACTGTCGGTAATGAAAATGATGATGATGCGGGTGATGATGGTGACGATAATGATGATGATGATGCTGATTTTAATGAAAGGAATGATGAGGAAGATAACGCTTAGGATGATGATGAGGCTGCTGGTGAGTGTGAAGGCGATGACGATGATGATGCTGATGAGGATGTCGATGGCGAAGTGGATTATGAGGATGCTGGTGATGATGGTCGAACGTAGCATGGGAATCGGGTGCCTCAACTACAGCTGCAATCGCTCCGGCACCGCATTGCGGCAAGAGCGGCACCTCGGATATCGTATTTCTTAAGAGTACAAGGAATTACAAAGATAGTGCACCTGGTTACGTACGCGTGCAGCGCTGGGAGAGAATAGCGCGAGACATCAATCGTGCGTGCACATGCATACGATTTGCATATAGGTAGCAAGGGCATGTAAAATAGGGTGCGGGAGTGGAGGATCAGAGGACGAGCGGAGATGTGGCTTCGTCGGTCGGCGACACGTACAGCCTCACTCGTGACAGAGCTGCGCATGAACATGCCCAGGCCAGAGAGCGCACCGAGGGTCATCACAGCCTGGATCGGGGCAGCCGCGACCCGTTCCCAAAGACCGCGCCGAGGGGCAGCGACTCCTCGTAGGTCGTAAAAAGGGGCACACAAACTCCGTGGTCTTCGTCTCGTTTGCTGCGAGAAGCTTCGCCTGGGAGTTGAGGTTATGCGTCCGTATGCGGAGCTGCGCGATGGCCACTTGCAACTGAATCCGTATATCAAGCAGACATGTTTCACGTATGTTCCGGAAAAACCTCCCCGGAACGTTCTGCGCACAGGTGCGGATTGTCGGGTGGTGCTTCAAGCCAGCTTCGGGCAACAGCAGCTCGCGCTTCCCACCACCGTTGAGCGGGCACGGGTTGTCGTAGTTCCTCGGGTTCCTGACGGACTCTACGGAGGTCTGGGAGGTCAGCTCCAGGCAGAACAGGACAATCCACTCGGACATCAGAGGGTTGAGAATGGCATGCCTCATGAGCGCCTTGGCGTTCGGCAAGAAGCCTCTGGAACCCCTCTGCTTGGCGGTCGCGAGCAGGAACTTCCGCGTTGGCCATCACGCTCTCGCGCCGGGCGAGCTTGCACGCCATCTCTGTCATGAGAGCGTCGATACGGGTGTTCATATCCTTGGCGAGGGTAGTGCGCATGTTCTGGATGGCTTCCGCGTGATGGTACAACCATGGTGCCAGCGCTGTTCTCCAACGAGGCCCTCTGCAGGTAGGTTGAGGAGCTTGTCATCAGGAGTCGGCCAGCTCCTGTTGTACCAGCTTGTCGTACTGGCCAGCAGCTATCTCCGCAGAGGACGTGGTAGCGCGGACATCGCGTGGCGGATCTGTAGCTCCTTGGTCACGCAAGTCTGGAAGACGATTCGGGACTGCATGAGCCCTCGGCCCTTCCAGGTACGGGCGGAGGTAATCCAGCCAGTCGAACTGGTGCAGGAGGGCGGGCGGAGGGCGGAGGGAGGGAAGAGGGAGGAGGGAGGAGGGAGGAGGGAGGAGGACGGAGGGAGGAGGGAGGAGGAAGGAGGGAGGGAGGAGAGAGGAGGGAGGAGGAAGGAGGGAGGGAGGAGGGAGGAGGGAGGAGGGAGGGAGGAGGGAGGAGGGAGGCGGGAGGCAGGAGGGAGCAGGGAGCAGGAGCCCCGGCTTGCGTGGCACCAGGCAGGAACGGACTGCGCGCACGTGGCGTCGCCACCAGGTCCCCGAGACGGACAGGGACAGCACGAGCGCGAAGGGCTCCTCGCAGCAGTCCTCGAGCGGCAGCTCCGCGATGCGCACGTGGCCCCGGGCGGCGCTGCAGGCGGCGTCGGCGGCAGAAGCTGGGACAGCCGAGCGTGAGCTGAGAGGGTGCTCCGCGTGATCCGCAGAGCTCCGAGGCAGAGGACGGCGGCGAAGCCGAGAGCTCTCCTGGATTGCCTCGATGGCCTTCCTCGTGCCTGGGTCCTCGGAGTCGGTGCAGATGGGTATCAGCGCGTGCGTGACGAGCTGGCCGAAGACGAGACGAGCATCCATGGCAGGGACAACCACCGTTCAGCAAGCGCGGCAAGGTGGGCGACATCACCAGGGGAGGATACCATGCTGTGCGAGCATTTGGAAATATAGATCGTGCAAAGGTGTAGCGCATTTTGGCAAACCTGGCTTGAGCCAAAATGGCTACGAATGATGATGCTGATGATGCTGCTGCTGATGATTATGATGCTGCTGATGATGATATTGCCAGTAATGGTACTGACGATTATGATCGACGTTTTACCCATCCCCCTGCTCACGCCAGAATTCTACGAGTGAGTGGAGTGGGAGTATGGGTAAAAAACACGCCTCTGGAAACCAAGGCTTCTATCCAACCCCTGCCCCCCCTGGCGTCGTTTCGTGGGGGTGGGGGACCAGCAAGGCCATGGCCAGAACTTGAGCAAGGACCGACCGTCCTGGCATTTCCACAGGCCCACCACAACATGTTGTTATAACAATAAACATGGTTCTTAGTACATAGGCCCGACGCCTTAAAACAGGACGGTCTCAGCCAGAAGTGTTCCAAACACATGTCGTGCAGACCACGAGAGGGTCTTAGAACATTCTTGGTGGACTTTTGGGCAAGCCAGGGCACTTCGCCGCTGCCCAGGAACGTCGACCGCCGAATGATGATGCCATGGAGGAGGAGGAGATGGAGGTGGAGGAGCAGGAGGAGGAGGAAGGGGTGGAGGTGGAGGAGCAGGAGGAGGAGGAGGAGGAGGAGGAGGAGGAGGAGGAGGAGGAGGAGGAAAGGGAGGCGCAGGAGGAGGAGGAGGAGGAGGCGCAGGAGGAGGAGGAAGGGGAGGAGGTGGAGGAGCAGGAGGAGGGAGGAGGAGGAGGAGGAGGAGGAGGAGGAGGAAGGAAGCAAGGCGAGAGGGAAGGAGGGAGGGAGGAGGAGGAGGGCTCTCGGCCCCGGCTGCGGCCGCAGAGTCTGTGCCCCGGCGGTGCGCGGCGCCGCGCCGCCCGCGGCCGCGCCCGGCCGTGCGGCGCCGCCCCCGCCGCGGGGCAGCGTGCGACGAGCCGGGCTCGGGAGCCCGCCGGCCACGGAGCGGCGACGAGCTCGACGCCGACGCCGAGCTCGACGACGAGCGCCCGAGCTCGACGACGAGCGCCCGACTTTTTCTCATCTGCTTGCTGCTGTTCGTGTGGCGTTGCTTCCTTTCTCGGGCGCCGACCACGAGCCTCCTCGAAATCAAACGCAGGTTTGTCGTGTTGCTGTTTGCGTTGCCCTGTTTCCTCTCTCGGGCGCCGACCAGGAGCCTCCTGGAAAGCAAAATCGCAGGTTCGTCGCGTTGATCGGCGCGCGGAGCGCGCGAGCGGGGCTCGGGAGCCCGCGGGGCCACCGATGGGCGGCGAGCGAGAGGGGGGAGTGGGGCGGCGAAGGCCCTCTCAGAAGGCGGTGGGGCTTCTCAGAAGTCCGCCGGCCTCCTGAAGGGTTTTGCTGTGTCTTCGGGGGAAGGCCCAGGACACTTTCCAGAAGGCCGGGGGACTGCCGAGCCTTCTGAGAAGGCCCGCCCCTTCTCACTTCCCCCCCGAGCCCGCCGTCAACTGCGACGAACCCGACGACGCCAGCGCCGACGCGGGCGCCGACCACGACCACGATGGTGCCCCTTCGCTTCGAAGTTTTTGAAACATTTCTGAAACTCCAGCACGGCCAGACACAGCTCCACAAACTTGCCGAGATGGGCCCTGAGAAGATTTTAGGGAATCCGCGGATCACGAACAAGAAGGGATCGAGGACCGACTGGGGCCCATTGTCGGCCCCAGCCACGCCCTTGAAGGTTTTCGAAAACCATGGCTGACTCCGCCGCAAAATTCCTTCAAGAATGCAGCCCAGAACAAGTCCAGGCCCGATGTCGACCGGCTATGATTGATGAGAGGCTGGTCCTCAGGAGTGGGTCGAAAGGCCGAGGGGGCCTGGCTCGCGAAAGGTCCCGCGGCAAACACGGGGTGGATGTCTCTGATAGTGCTCTCTTCCGCAGCAGCGCTCGCTATCACACTCTGCTGAAGGAGTTCAGAAACTGCTCCCGCAGAATCGCTCCCCGGGAGGTCGCCCGCTCCTGTCTCGGGAATGGCTCCCGTTCCCCACCACGCCGCCAGCGCTCGATGAACAAACAAAGAGCTGGCCACACCACTGGTTCCATGATCCATGTGGCGCATGCCCCAGCGCTGGATCCCCATCCCTGGGCAATAACAGGGTGCGGGACAATCTCCCTCTGGGCTCCCCACCATTCCAACCTGCCAGCGTTGCAAGACATGTGGCAAGTACGTATGGCTCTCACCATTTCGAACCTCTGGGGTCCAGGAAGTCTGGCACGGGCGTGGGGCCATCACCATTACATTCACGCCAAAGCCCACAATCCCCATCGAAAGTACGCCATTCCGGTTATTTTGAAGGGGAGTAGAATGCGGATGAGGAGAGAGGAGACCGCGAACCACCACAAGTTCGAAACAGGATCTCCGAGGGAAGAGACGCCATCCCCAGTGTTAGACTGCGCAAGTCCCAAACCCATAGGATTCGCGAAGACCACGCTGAAGCATCAGCACCCTGCTAGGGGGGGCTTTGCTGCACATTCTCTCCACTCATTACGGCGGATGCCCAGGAGATCACAAGATGGGCCGCCCGACTGTTGGGACCGCCAGGGGCCCTACACCACAAAGGGGTCGAGGGATCCGCTCGTGTCCATCCTATCTTCCCACGGCACCGAACTTTTCACGACGCCGAATACACCCAGACCGCCTGCGCATCTTCCCCCCCAGTCCGCGGGCCCCAGATGCGAGGCGGGGATTTATCCATACCCACCGCCTTGGAAGCGACGTCCTGGTGCCCTGGCGGGCGGTCGATTTGGAGATATCTTGGCCCCCACGGGCCCGAGCATGTGCATGTCCACCGCCTGCCGAGGCCCCCGAGCATTGATCCTCCAGGCGGTGGTTCTGTACAGGTTCCTGCCTCGGACCAGAGCTCACGACCCCCCACTTCCAGGGGCCAGGCTCTCGTGGAGCGAACCCTCGAGCAGGGCAGGGGGGCCCACCGGGAGGGCCACCCCGAGGCTCCCCGTGCGGGCACGCGGGCTCTCCGAGCCCGAAGCTTGCTGTGCCAGGCGTAGTAGCTGCACGCCTCCGCGTCCCCGGCCAGGTCGTCCTCGGAGAGAGGACGCCATCAGAAGCTGCATCAACACGTCGGCGGCGAGCCCCGGGGGGGGGGGGGAAGTTGAAGGGGCCCTGGGACCCACAAATAGTTCAACAGACACAACTAATAACAGGATTACCCATAGTTTCCCATATTTCCTGTGTTTTCGTCTTCCCCCCCACTTCCCATATTGTCATATATTTTGTGGGGAATCGACGATGAATTGTGTCTTTGTGTTTTTCTCCTCCTGAGAAATGAGGAAGAGAAAGTCTTCTCGGAAGGCCCGGAAGTCCCCCCGGCATTCCGAGAAGTGTCCTGCGCCTCCCCCGAAGACAGACAAGAGAGAGAGAGAGAGAGACTGCTCAGGAAAAGCCCGAGGGCTTCTGAGAAGCCCCGCCGCCTTCTGATGAGCATCGTTTATCCGATCCCTATCCCCAGCGGCGTGGCCTGGGCCCCACTGGCCGATTCACCCCCCTAGATGGGGATATAGGCCGTTCCCTTCGGGCTTCGAGGGGCGTATCCCCAACTGGGGTGGTACTTTGGCGGAGGTCTCGAAGGGGACGAGGATGGGGATGGAGGTCGGTAAAACGATACTGATCTGAGAGGGCCTTCTCCTTCTCACTTCCCCCCCCCTCGCTCGACGCCGAACATCGACCTGCCGGATGCCCGCCCTCCCCCCCCCCACCCCTCCTGGGCGACGCGCGGGGGCGGGGCGAGGAGGGGCTAACCCAGGGCCGACCCAGGGAGACCCGCCCGCAGCGGCACGAGAAGACCGCGCACCCTGCGCACGCTCGGACCTGGGACGGGAGGCCCAACCCGGGTCAGCCAGACCCGGGTGAGCAGGACACCCAAAAACTGACTACCTACCAGACCACCCCAACCCAACCCGAAGACCCGAATTTGACCCGAATTTCGGGTTGGGGGGGGGTACGGATACCATGTGTTTTTTCAACGTTCCCCGACCCCCCCCCACTGGAAATCGAGGATAAATTTGGGCCTTCGGGTTGGGTTGGGGTGGTTTGGTGGGTGGTGAAAAACACTGCCATGCAGGAAGCAGCAGCTGCAGTGCGGGGCTTGGCAGACCCGGGCCAGGCGCCAATGCGCGCGGCCGCGCCTCGCGGCCACGAGCGGCTCGCCAACCTGGGCCAGCCAGAGAGGGCCACTCGTGGGACCCTGCAGGATCCGGTGCCCTGGCGGACCCCCGCTTGCATGGACCCCCGTCTCTTGAGCCCCGAGGCCCTCCTTGAAGGGGCCCTGGGACACACAAATAAATACACACAAATAAAAAGGTTCCCCATATTTTCTATATTTTCTCGGTTCTTGTCTTCCCCACCACTTCCCATATTCTCCCATATTTTCTGGGGGATCGACGATTAATTGTGTCTGTGTGTTTTTTCCCCTCCTGACTCCTGCAAGAACATGAGGCCCGCCGCCGGCCCAGACCGAAGAACACTCGAGGGCCCCCCCCCCCTCGCGGGTCGGGGGAGAGAGGGGAAGACAGCAAACAGGGGGGTTTGAGACTCAGCCCACGCAGCCGATTTTCCCAGCGCCTCCCGGCGCCGGGAGGCGCCCATGTATCGAGGGATGGGCCCGGCGGCGGGGCCGAGACCAGCTGCATGCAGCAGATTTCGGAACTCCCCCTTTCCCGATCCCCCCCTTTCGTCCGGCCCGGTCAGGATGCACAAGAGCATCCCGCAAGCACGAAGAACCCCAGGGTACCCTCCCCGAGCCGATCTCGGTCTTATACCTCGGTCCGGCTGTAAGCATCGTCTCGTGATGCTCTCTCTTCTGCCCTCGCTCCAAGGGCCCGCAGGCGACCACCGGAGGCCGAAACGGGGGAAAACGCAGCAACGTTGAGCCAGCAATCGATGGGCCAGAATTAAGTCGGGCATGTCCTCCTACAGGCAGATTTTCGACGAGAAAAACATTTACATCACAAATATTCAAAAATTGGCAAAACTAGTATAAAAAATGCCCCCAGACTATGTCATGAATATCTTTGAATATTCCCCCTGTAGAGGGGCACGCCATACTTAACGCCAGAGTCGGGTCGGACAAATGAGGGGTCAGTCACGCGGGATGGGTTGGTGAATCAGCTCACGTGACAGATTTTCCTGAAGCCTCCCCGAACCAAAGGCGCCAGCGCCAAACGCAGCATAATCTCGCACGCCCCTCCCCCTTTCCCAATCTCGGAGGAGAACCGCGTGGGACAACGGCGGTGAGACAACGGCGGCCAAAATCCAGCCGAAATCGGTCCCCGGACCTCTCCCGGGGTCCAAACGCACCAGTTTTCCGAGCGGCGCCCAGCGGCAGGGCCAGAAAAGCAACCCCTGCCTCAGCGCGCCCTCCTCCGGCAATCCCCTCTTGCTGCCCGACCCGGCAAGAGTCTGGGCATGGGTCCTCGTAATCCCAGACGCCGTCCCCCGGCGAGCTGGCGCACCCGCGCGCTGCCGCGGCAGGTCGCCCGCTGTCCGCTCCCTCGCCGCCGCTGGCGTGCCTGGCGTCTCCCTGGCGCTCGGCGAGGGGTGCCAAGTCGTCGCGCTCGGGCGCGGCCGAGCTCTCCGCCTCCTGAGGAGGAGGAGGAGGAGGAGGAGGAGGAGGAGGAGGAGGAGGAGGAGGAGGAGGAGGAAGGAGAAGGAGAAGAAGGAGAAGGAGAAGAAGAGAAGGAGAAGGAGAAGGAGGAGGAGGAGGAGGAGGAGGAGAGGAGGAGGAGGAGGAGGAGGAGGGAGGAGGAGGAGGAGGAGGAGGAGGAGGAGGAGGAGGAGGAGGAGGAGGAGGAGGAGGAGGAGGAGGAGGAGGAGGAGGAGGAGGAGGAGGAGGAGGAGGAGGAGGAGCTGGTGGTCGAGGGCCCAAGCGTCCCCCCATGGCGATGTGTGCCTCCAGTGAGACGTCGCAGGGGCCGCGGTGCCAGCCCCCTGCGTGCGCCAGAGCCCGGCCCCTGCTGGCGCCCCGAAGCGGGCCCGGGGGCCCCCCTCTGTAGGTCCGTCTGGTCTGGGGTGCGTTTCGCCTCCCTCGGCGGCGACGATAGGGGCGAATAGCCCAGGGGCGGGCATTACACGCATTCGCCCGAGAGCCTTGTCGAAGACATAGATCATCGGCGCACCTGAACACATGTATTGCTCTCCCCTGGGCTATTCGCCCCTCTCGTCGCCTCTGACTCCCCTGAGCCTCGCCCACCCGCTGCGGTGGGAGGACCCGGCGCGACAGGGCGTCGCCGGCTGCGTCCGCCTCTCGGCGGCGCGCAGAAGGAAGCGTGACGAAGGGGGTGGCCCTCCAAGAAGACGGGGTGGCCTCCTGGGAGGGCCCAGTGCAGCTCCCAGGACAGCTCCCGGGAGGGCCTCCGAGGAGCAGCCTGCCTTCCCCCAGGAGGCCGCCCCCCCCTCGTGCCCCCGCCCCCTTCTTCGCCGCCGCCGACCTCCAAGAAGCCCAGGCCCTCTGCCCCGCCCGCCCGCTGCGGCGCGAAGGCGCGGCGCGAGGGGGCGTCGCCGGCCGCGTCCGCCTTCGCCGCCACGGCCTCCAGCATCATCCGCAGGGAGTCCTGCTCCAGGGATCGACCTAGACAGTGTCTTTCGTTTTCGTTGTGTTTTCGTTTTCCGTCGTTTCTCTTCAATCCACCTTTGCTGCAAAACGATATCGAAACGAAAACGGCCCACGAAATCGCCAAAACACAGTTTCGGTCGACCCCTGTCCTGCTCTCCGGTGTCCGACAGCTGGAGCGTGACGCGGTAGGCCAGGGCGGCCATCGAGTCCTGCTTGGCGCGGATCTCCTCGTCGCCGATGGCCGCCAAGATCGGCTCCAGGTTCTCGCTGGGCGTCTGGGGGCACTCCTCGTTCTGCGAACGGTTGCAGGCCTTCGTGTAAATGGACGCCAGCCTGGCCCCGGTGATTTTGTCCTCTGGCACGTACACGCACATTGACAACATCTCCTCTTCAGTGAGGTGCGCTCTCCAAATTCGCCGGCCCAGTGGGCCCATGGCGTATCATGCCCGAGTTGCACGATGGCACGATGGCGAACAGCGCATGCGGACCGAGGGGCGCGAAATCGCTCCCTTGTCCCATTTCTTGGGCCGTCGGGGGCCACCTGAAGTCATCCTGGGGCTTCTGGCTGATACTCGCGCCTGCTCATGCTTACGTCCCTGGGCTTGCTTCTGATCCTGCTGGAGCGGATGAAGGAGCAACTGCTGCTGGCGTGTGGGCGTAGGCACACACATATCTATACATATATATATATATATACACATACATACATACATACATACATACATACATACATACATACATACATGCATACATGCATGCATACATACATACATACATACATACATACATACATACATACATACATATATCTGTGTGTTTACGCATCTGTATATTTATTATATGCTGTGTATGTGTGAACGTCCACATTTCTGTACAGTTAAGCATGTATACGCATATGCGTCTCACGCGCATGCGTTCTGACTACATCTACCATGCTGGGTACGTGCGCGTACACGTACTCGTGCATGCATTAAGCATACAGACGCGTGTACATATATATATGTATAGGTATATGTACACACGTCCGTCAGTCCCCCTTCTGGGGGCCACCGAGCTAAGCGGGTGAGGCTTTGACATCTCAACAACTTCATACGTTTTCGGCTACTCAGTACATTAGTTACCAGCAATTGAATTCGGCGGCGCCCACTGGCCCCCCACACGAAAAACCCTGGGAGGGTTGGCTGTCTGATAACGAATTCGGGGCCCCCATGGGGCCGCATTGGTGCTATCCGGCCCTGGGCCCTCATGGGGCCGCATTGGGGCCCTCATGGGGCCGCACAGGCCTGTCGCTCAGACGACGAGGGAGGCCGCCGGTGGCAGCCCCGGGCCGTCTGCCATGAAAGGGGTAGGCCAAAGCTCAAAGCCAGATGCTTTTCAGTTGTATCTGCATTCGAAGGAACTGAAGGCCACCCGAGTACGGCCCGATTAAGTGGGGCCGGGAGACCGCGCCGCATCGCCGGTGCATCGGCGACCTCAAGATGGAGAAGATTAAGCTCTGGGTCGCGTCGCATCGGCGATGCAGCGCGACCTGCTGGCCTCATCTTCTCGGCCACAGGTGGACGGCCTGGAGAAGGCCGGTCGGCTCCAAGGCGGCCCAAGCGGCTCCTGCCAGCAAGCCCACGCCTGCAAACACACACACACACACCAACACATACACACAAGATGCGAACTTGCCAACCCCACGCGCGCAAGCCTGCCGGGCCTCGCCGAGCATCGCGCTGCAGTGCTCCCGAGCGTCCCTTCCGGGTGGGGCCTGCGGTGTGCGGGGAGCTGTGGGATGACCAGCTGCTGCGGCACGAACAGCACAGGGATGCAGCCGAACACGATGGAGTCCACAATGCCCTTTCGCAGGGGCGTGTCGCCGGGCGGCTGGGCGCAGAAGGTGGAGCTGAGCATCGCATTCACCATCCCCTTGACATTGAACAGCCACGTCCTCTTCGGGTCTCCGGGGTCCTCCTGCGGCACCGAGAAGGAGGGGGCGCAGGCCAGCTTTGACGATCTGCACTCCCATCCTAGAGCCCTCCTGAGGTTTTGCGCCTTGCCATGCAGGCCAGAGGAGTGGGACCACAAGTACCTCGCTCGTCCGCGGGGGCGCGTCCTCGCAGGTGCTCCGGCTGCGAGCCCGTGGTACACGGTGGGCACCGGAAACGCATACCAGTTCGGATCTTTCGCGCTTCCTGCAGGGACCTGCAGATTCACCCTCACAAATCGCTTGAAATATTTTCTGTCGCGCATGTAGGTGCATACGAAGTCCATTCGTGGATCCAGAAGCACATGGCGCCTCTCGAGTGCACCGGATCCAGGCGCTTCCAGAAGGGGGTTCTCACGGCGAAGCGCATTCCAGACTTCCTCCGCCCCAGCACACTCCAGACCATTGCGAGACCACGCTGGGACAAAAAAGACTCTGGCTTGGCTCACGTTGCGTGTGCGCCAAGGGGAACTCAGCAGCCTAAAGTAGATCATCCATGGGAGCGTGAAGCTCTTGGTCGCCCATAGCTCCAGCGGCCTCCCGTTTGGGCCCATCACCGCTTGAGGCAGACCGCCGAAAGCACAGTTCACCTCGGAGCACCTGTCGACCCCCTGCGCGCGGAACCGATCTGGCAAGTCGTAGACGTACACCCACGGGAAGTGCCCCGCCGCCTTGTCCGCACCGCGCGCCGCGGAGTCCGCTCCCGCCGGAGGGAGGGATGCCTGAGGAGAGGCGGCATCCGTCTCGTCTGGGCGCCCCGCCGCTGCCCCCGGCGCGGTGCGCACTTCACCCTGGCTCGCCCCAGATGAGCTCTCCTCGTGCCTGCGCACTGCGTCCTTGAGCTGCTCGTACTCTTCTCCCGTGAGCTGCTTGTGGCCCGCGGCCTTAGACTTTCGGACGATGCCTTGGATCACTTCCTCGATCGTCGTCTGCGCTGGCCTGGGCTCCAGCTCCGGGAGCCGTGCCCGGGGCTCCGAGCTCTGCGCGGCGAGGCGGGCGCGGGGCCTCGGCGCAGAGGGCCGGCAGGGCTGCGTCAGGCGCACCTCGTCCACGACTGGGAGGCCCTGCAGCCGCCACCGCGCGAGCAGCACGCCGTAGCCGAAGAGCAGGGCGGCGCCGCAGATCGACCTGAGCGACGCAAGAAGAAGCGAGCCTCGCGCGAGACGACATATGGCGACCTTGCGCGTCGGCTCCCGCGGGCCGCCGGCGCGGCACGCCAACTGGAAACGAGGGCGCTGACGCGGAACCCTGCGCGGGCAGCTTGCGCGCCGCTGTCGGCGCAAAAAGCCTCCTCTGTGTGGCGCCGCTCACCTCGCGTCGGGCATCCACGGCTGGCGAGGGGGCAGAACGGGCCAGACTGCATGGCGGCCCGAGCCATGCTGCGGAGAGCGATGACGCGAGACTCGTCAGCAGCATCCGGTCGCGGCACGTCCGCGACGACCCTCTTACACCTCCCGCAACTCCTGCTTCTCAGCCTTCCTGCTCTCCTGCTGCCCCTATCCACAGCCGTATTCACACGCACACGCACACGCACACGCACACACAAACCCACGCACACACACACACTCACACACTCACATACTCACACACTCACACACTAACACACTCACACACTCACTCACACACACATACACATACACACACCACACACAACCAACACACACACACAACCAACACACACACAACACACACACAAACACACACACACACACTCACACACTCACACACTCACACACTCACACACTCACACACTCACACACTCACACACTCACACACACACTCACACACTCACACACTCAGACACTCACACACACACACACTCAAACACTCACACACTCACACACTCAAACACTGCCACACTCAAACACTGCCACACTGCCACACAGACACAGACACACAGACACACAGGCACACAGGCACACAGGCACACAGACACACAGACACACAGACACACAGACACACAGACACACAGACACACAGCCACACAGCCACCACAGCCACACAGCCACACAGTCACACAACCACACAGCCACACAGCCACACAGCCACACAGCCACACAGCCACACAGCCACCCAGCCACCCAGCCACCCAGCCACACAGCCACACGGCCACACAGCCACACAGCCACACAGCCACACAGCCACACGGCCACACGGCCACACGGCCACACGGCCACGCGCTGACGCGCTGACGCGCTGACGCGCTGACGCGCTGACGCGCCCACACGCCCGCACGCCCACACGCTCACACGCCCAAATGCTCACACGCCCACACGCCCACACGCCCACACGCCCGCATACCCGCATGCCCACACGTCCGCACGTTCACACGCCAACACGCCCACACGCCCACACGCCCACACGCCCACACGCCCACGCGCCGAAGCGCCCACGCGCCCACGCGCCCACGCGCCCACGCGCCTACACGCTCACGCGCCCACGCGCCCACGCGCCCACGCGCCCACGCGCCCACGCGCCTACGCGCCCACGCGCCCACGCGCCCACGCGCCCACGCGCCCACGCGCCCACGCGCCCACGCGCCCACGCGCCCACGCGCCCACGCGCCCACGCGCCCACGCGCCCACGCGCCCACGCGCCCACGCGCCCACGCGCCCACGCGCCCACGCGCCCACGCGCCCACGCGCCCACGCGCCCACGCGCCCACGCGCCCACGCGCCCACGCGCCCACGCGCCCACGCGCCCACGCGCCCACGCGCCCACGCGCCCACGCGCCCACGCGCCCACGCGCCCACGCGCCCACGCGCCCACGCGCCCACGCGCACACGCGCACACGCGCACACGCGCACACGCGCACACGCGCACACGCGCACACGCGCACACGCGCACACGCGCACACGCGCACACGCGCACACGCGCACACGCGCACACGCGCACACGCGCACACGCGCACACACGCACAACCGCACAACCGCACACACGCACACACGCACACACGCACACACAGACACACACAGACACACACAGACACACATAGACACACACAGACACACACAGACACACACACAGACACGCACAGACACGCACAGACACGCACAGACACGCACAGACACGCACAGACACGCACAGACACACACAGACACACAGACACACACAGACACACACAGACACACACAGGCACACACAGACACACACAGACACACACAGACACACACAGACACACACGCACCCACGCACGCACGCACGCACACACGCACGCACACAATCAAACAAACATTCAGACAGTCGAACAGACAACCAACCACATACACACAAGCACACACACGCACCCACACACACCACACACCACACAACACACACCACACACGACACAGCACATGGCAGACACAGGGTAACACCCATAAACACACATACTATTCGACCACCCTTCGGGTGATAAGGAGGTTCGCGGGGGGGAGGAACCAACGTCTCATTCGATCGGTCTCACTTTCGGTCTCACTATCGATCTCAGTATCGGTCTCGCTCGACCCATCTCCCTCGATCGATCTCACAATCGATCTCACTCGATCTATCTCACAATTGATCTGACTATCGATATCGCAACCGCTATCACAATCGATATCACATTCGGTCTCACTATCGATCCTACTATCGATATCACAACCGCTATCACAATCAACGTCATCATCATCATCATCATCAACAACATCAACATCAACATCACCATCACCAACATCATCATAATCGGGACACCGTCCTCATCATCAACACCATCATCATCATCACGGTCATCAACATCATCGGGACACCACCATCATCATCATCAGCAGCATCATCATCATCACCATCATCACAACCATCATCATCATCATCATCAACATCATCATCATCAGCAGCATCGGGACACAGTCATCGTCATCATCATCATCAGCAGCAGTATCGTCATCGGGGCACCATCATGATCATCATCGTTATCATCATCATCCTCATCGGGACACCATCATCATCATCTCATCCTGATCATCGGCATCATCATCAGCATCATCAACATCATTATCAGCATCATCATCATCATCATCGTCATCATCGGGGCACCATCATCATCATTACCAACATCAGCATCAACATCATCATCATCATCACCATCGGGACGCCATCATCATCAACATCATCATCATTTCCACCAGAAGAATCATCATCATCGGGGCGCCATAATCACCATCAACGTCATCATCATCAACGTCATCATCATCATCGGGACACAATCATAACCAGCATCATCAACATCAACATCATCATACTCATCATCATCGGGACACCATCATCGTCATCATCATGATCATCAACGTAATCATCATGATCATCATCATCCTCATCATCGGGACACCATCAGCATCATCATCATTATCGTCATCACCATCATCATCATCGACATCATCATCATCATCATCATCGGGACACCATCATCATATTATCATCATCAGAATCATGATCGTCGTCCTCATCATCATCATCATCATCAGCATCACCATCATCATCATCGTCATCATCATCAGCAGCATCATCAGCATCACCATCATCATCATCATCATCACCATCATCATCTCATCATCATCATCATCATCATCATCATCATCTTCATCATCATCATCATCATCATTATCATCATCGGGGCGGGACACCGCGGGACACTGGCGGGACACCGCGGGGCACCGCGGGACACCGCGGGACACCGCGGGACACTGGCGGGACACCGGCGGGACACCGCGCGCCACCGGCCGCCCGGAAGAGACACATTTGGTCCGGCCGCGCCTCAGCCACAGGGACACCGACGGGACACCAGCGCGACACCGGCGGGACACCGCGCGCCACCGGCCGCCCGGTGGAGAATAATTTGGTCCGGCCGCGCCTCAGCCACGGGAGACTTTCTCTCGCCCGCCCACGCAACTTCGCCTCGCCCGCACGCGCGGCACGCACGAACACGAAACCGAAATCGATTTCCCGGTAGGGGGGCTCTCCGTTCCACTTCGATCTCACCCCCTCACCTCCGATATATACATACCTATACGACCACCCTGCGGGTGATAAGGAGGTGAGGGGGGAGGGGGAACCAACGTCTCACTCAATCGATATCGCTATCGATCTCACAATCGATCTCACATTCGATCTCACTATCGATATCACTATCGATCTCGGTATCGATCTCACTATCGATCTCACAATCGATCTCACAATCGATCTCACATTCGGTCTCACATTCGGTCTCACTGTCGATCTCACTATCGATCTCACAATCGATCTCACAGTCGATCTCACATTCGGTCTCACATTCGGTTTCACTATCGATGTCACAATCGATCTCACAATCGACGTCATCATCATCATCAACAACAACACCAACATCATCATCATCATCATCATCATCATCATCATCATCAGCATCATCATCATCATCATCATCATCGTCATCATCATCATCATCATCATCATCATCATCGCCATCATCACCATCATCATCATCATCATCATCATCATCATCATCATCATAATCATCCACATCATCCACATCATCATCGGGACACCGACGGGACACCGACGGGACACCAGCGGGACACCGGCGGGAAACCGCGCGCCACCGGCCGCCCGGAAGAGACACATTTGGTCCGGCCGCGCCTCAGCCACAGGGACACCGACGGGACACCAGCGGGACACCGGCGGGACACCGCGCGCCACCGGCCGCCCGGAAGAGACATATTTGGTCCGACCGCGCCTCAGCCACAGGGACACCGACACCAGCGGGACACCGGCGGGACACCGCGCGCCACCGGCCGCCCGGGGGAGAATCATTTGGTCCGGCCGCGCCTCAGCCACAGGAGATTTTCCTCTCGCCCGCCCACGCAGCTTCGCCTCGCCCGCACGGCACGCACGAACACGAAACCGAAATCGATTTCCCGGTAGGGGGGCTCTCCGTTCCACTTCGATCTCACCCCCTCACCTCCGATATACATAAACGTTTTGTTGGGCGTCGCGGTCCTGCGCGCGGCGACAGGGTGGAGGAGATCGTGCAGGAGCAAACGCGCGCGCGCTCGACTAGGGCACACACGCACACACTAAAAGCACACACGGATGTAGAAACCATCATGAGGTGGAGGGTTCGAGTACGCAGTAGGCACCTGTGCACCACCACCATGCCTGCCCAGAGTGTGCCCAGGATGGCTCTGGCCAAACATGGTGTCAGTGTCGATCTGCCTCTGCGGGTAGGCAATGCAGGCGGAAGAGGGTAAGGAGGTGCAGGATGGGTAAACGACGAACGAGGAGATGTCGGACGACTCCTACAGGGTTCCCACCTGAGCCCATTTGGCGTCTA